TTTATGTTCCTTTTGCTCAGCAGTGGTTTTCGTCTTGGAACTCTGCCATGCAGGCCATTTTTGCCCAGTCTCTTTCTTATGGTGGAGTCATGAACACTGACCTTAATTGAGGCAAGTGAGGCCTGCAGTTCTTTGGATGTTGTTCTGGGGTCTTTTGTGACCTCTTGGATGAGTCGTCGCTGCGCTCTTGGGGTAATTTTGGTCGGCCGGCCACTCCTGGGAAGGTTCACCACTGTTCCATGTTTTCGCCATTTGTGGATAATGGCTCTCACTGTGGTTCGCTGGAGTCCCAAAGCTTTAGAAATGGCTTTGTAACCTTTTCCAGACTGATAGATCTCAATTACTTTGTTTCTCATTTGTTCCTGAATTTCTTTGGATCGCAGCATGATGTCTAGCTTTTGAGGATCTTTTGGTCTACCTCACTTTGTCAGGCAGGTCCTATTTAAGTGATTTCTTGATTGAGAACAGGTGTGGCAGTAATCAGGCCTGGGTGTGGCTAGAGAAATTGAACTCAGCTTTCCAAAGATGTGATAAACCACAGTTAATGTATGTTTTTAGGTTTGGATTTTTTTTCCCCCTTAATAATAAAAACCTTCATTTAAAAACTGCATTTTGTGTTTACTTGTGTTATCTTTGTCTAATTAAATTAGTTTGATGATCTGAAACATTTAAGTGTGACAAACATGCAAAAAAATAAGAAATCAGGAAGGGGGCAAACACTTTTCACACAACTGTATATATATGAAGAAAATATGCTAAATATATAAATATATATATATATATATTTAGCATATTTTCTGTCCTATTTTTGTATACTCCTGTTTGAATACTTGACAAATGAAAAGTACTGAGTATTTTCAAATGTTATTAAGAAATGAAGGTAACAGTTTCAAGTGAAATCATAGAGAAGAAAAGAATAAATATTCCCATGTAATACCAACTATGTTTACATGCATGCACACAAACATCAGCAATCAGATTAAGACAATAGTTTGGTTTAACTACACTGGGTTATTACCATAAGCATAATTATTATCAATTCAGATTTTCAGAGAAATTTGAGTTAGTATGTGCTTGTTATTGTCAGTGTAGATGACATATTTGTGTATTACAATATCTTGATACGAGTCCATTGAAAGCGGTAAATTATCATATTGAATTATCGCCCAGCTCAAACCTTGATCAAAGCAGCCAAAACATGCCCGAATTACACCTTATTTATGCACCTGACAGTAAAGCTAAACATGATTCACTGTATTGCACCATGATGCTAATTAGATCAACAAAACATTTACAAATGTCCACGACATAGACCGTGCTTTCTTCTTCAGCTGTACTACAACACTCCACTGTGATTCCAGGTGGAGAGCCGACGTTTTAACCACCAGAGCACACAGAGGAGGGGAAAGCATCACATGCAATGCAAGACTGAAAACTAAGAGCACATCAGACGTTTTACTGAAATAGCTTTGAGGGATCCTACCTGATGCAGTGAACTGACTGCTTCCCAGTGTGGTGGGCCTGTTTTTCGCTCCGCTTACAGGTGGAGAGAACATCTGAAATGAAGAATATGGACCTACAATTAGAGCAAAGTCTCAACAGTGTAAAAGCAAACATTCACATCGTGTGCTGCAATTATCCTGAGAGCAGCTTCTGATTTAAAACAAAAATAAAAAAATCAAGGATCAGTCTGTCAAATCATATTAGCCAACACTAATATGAACTGATCAATTCGGCATGTTTTTTTTTCCTATTTGGTCGTCACACCTTTAAAAGCCCTCAGAGCTGCATGGCACCAAGAGGTAAAGACCGACAAAGAGTAGAAAGTCATCCTACCGCACTGAAATCAAGCAGATCACTTAATTCCTTGTCTGTTCCGAGAGCGGAAATCCGCTGCTGAGGATTCATCCTGGCGATCTAGAAACCTGAAGAAAACACAGTCCATCAGGTCACAGCGTGGCTGCTTTACTTATCAGCGGAGTGCCACAGGAAATGACTGCCACGAGACGTGATTGTTATGGATGCAGAATAAAGACCACGGAGAAGTTAAGTTGCCTCTGGCATTGCAGCAAATAGACACTGACAGTTCGGCCACACCATGATGGATTAAAATAGTGCAAACGTTCCCGCACCTGAAGTTTATTCCTACACTGCGTTGATTAAAAAAAGAAAGATGCGCTGATGCCATTGCGTGTTAAAGACCTGCAGCATCACACTGCTGCAGGAACATTGTTCTCTCTCTGGCAACACCGACATTTATGTAACTCACTGACGAGGCTGACGATGTTAATGTCGGTGGTTTGTGTGGTTCCACAAGCGATGCGATGCTTAGCGTTTACTGAGGCACGTATAACGTCCCCTTTTGCTACCAGGCTAAGGCTAGCTGCAGTTTGTGGTTCATTTGTATTGAAAATAGCTAACGTTTTTAGCAATGAGCTGCGGCGTTTAAAGACATTATCGCAGAGAAGATTTATTTCTCTAACGAGTGAAACATAAATTACATACTGGTTAAAAATAAGTAACTCAGCCAAACAAATATTTCCCATGACAGTCTGAATCTCCAGCTCCACAATACAAAACGCAGTGATGGTCTTTTCTCAACTCCCAACTTCTTTCACCGGTCCGAACGCTTTTGGTAAACTCCCACTGATATTTTACCTTTTATTCCGATTAAAATCCCGACTAGGGTGATCTGGTGAAGACACGCTTTCTTGCAAAACGCATCAAAAGAGCAAAAATGTGGGTTTAAACGGCAATACCTGTGTGAAATGTCCTCTTTGTATCAGTTACGAGTTTCCCTTAGGCAGACATTTTTGGTTTCCAAAAGCCTCAGCACCACGATGACACTGGTTATGTATCCCTCCGCGGAGCACAGTGGTCCCACACAGCAGGAGATGCTGCAGGAGTCAGCTCACACTGTCTCGGGTCACACTGGTGCACCACATGTCTGTCTCTGCTGTATTAAAGGTGCATCTAATGGATTATACAGACATATTTACATTTTAAATGTAATGTATTCCTTGAGAACAAATTATATACAAAACGTTCCACGATTGTTGTGTTTTTGTTTTTTTAAAGCGTTGTCCATAGCTTTTCTCTCAAAGCTTCTATTTCTTCACATCGGCAAAGTAAATCTTAATTCTTACAGCATAGAAGCACATGTTTGCACTGGATTTAATGGAAACTTGGAGTTGACAATGTACACACATTGCACAGAAGGCAGTGGGGTGGGTGTCAGTAAAGGCCCAACAACAAATGGCACAGGTTAGTCAGCTCACTCCTCTGCTGGCAGCCCTGCAGCCCTCTTCTCCGTCTCTGTCTATGAATTCATGTTCCATTAATGCACATTACTAACTCTACTTCTTCCCCGGATTCTTTGTGCTTTCTCGCCTCGCAGGTTTCCATGAATCGTGGTCATGTCTCCTGCCGTGGCCCTGCTGACACCAACTGCTACTATCATTATTATTATTATTATTATTAGTCACATTACTATTACTATTACTGATACCATTAATGCTTTTCTTTAATTTTCTATTATATCCACTGCTTCTGTTATTATTAGTAGTTGTAATTTTTCCATTAGTATTTTGCTTACGTCTCTCATTATATGAATTATTTATATCATTGACTGTGTTGTAACTCCTCTGTTGCTCTCCCTAAATTTTCTTAAATTTTTTCTCTCCATTAAAGCTTTTTTTTGGGGGAGTTATTCCTGTTCCGATGTGAGGGTCCTGAGAGAGAGGATGTCGTATGTGTACAGATTTTAAAGATACAGGTAAATTGAATTGAATTGGATACAAACTTCTTCATATCTTCCTCTTTCAGTGTCTGCAATTTCAGTACCAGATGTGTTAAGAGTAATATAACAAATCATCTTTAGTTTTGTTGTTCATAGTTTTGTTGTTTTTTCAGCTGTTTTCAACTGCTGTATATATAGTATATCAGTCATACTGGGTGATTTCACACCTTCCTTTGTTATTAGTCCAGTAGCCTGCCCTACAGCATGAAGTTTCTTGGATGCAATTATATGCTTTATTGGCTGACATTTTCTCAATAATAGGCATTTAGTGTATTTGCATTCTGTAGGTTAATGCAGACAGGTCTATCTTTCACGCACAAAATTAAAATACAATATACCAATTCACAGGAAATGATGTATGCATGTACTAAACATGAAGTGATGCCAGTGGCTGATCAATTTTATTTGGAGTCCCTCATGAGTGGCATGATTTGGAAACAATGGATATTGTTTTATTCAAAACAATTATAAATAGCACAGCATTATTCCCTGTTCATTACTTACCATGTTTGAGTCCGCATAGAGTGGTGCACCATACTGAGTTGTTGCTTCATGATTTCATGTCACATTACTCACTAACTTTGTCGCTGGCCTTAAGTAGAATAAACTGTTATGATGCACCACTTTTTTGAGGTGGGAAGACAATTGATGTAATCACAAAGTAATGTTTTATTATTGTGTAGCAACTCAGTGTGTATCTCTTTTTACTTCAGGACAGGCACAAACCCGGTGAGTAATGAGACAGGTCATCATGAAGCAATGATTCAGTACTCAGGAGTCACAGAATATAAACTGGATGGGTCATAATGAAGTAATATGAGATCAATATGTAACATTACCTGCCCACTTGTTAACTTTAGGAGACTGTGCATTTATTGTGAAGGGTTCAGACCAGAAGTGGTGTTGGTGTTGGCGGAAATCAGGCGGGCTTTTGAAAACAAGCTAGGTTTAAATTGTTGCTATTAAGACTAATCTCTTTTTAAAGAACTAGAGAAACAAGGAGCGTTTTCTCCATGGCTAAACAGCGGGAGAAAACAACACAGCCCTCCGATATTAATCAGACTTCAGCTCCAGTGGTGAAGAAATCGAAAGCAGCTCGTCGATCTGAAGAAGGTCTGAGAGCGAGGAAGGAAAGCGACCGTCTGCGAGTGAAAACAAGGATAAACATCTCCTACAGCTTCACAAGGTGGAGGAAACTAAAAGAAGAAAATAATATACGAACCGACGCAGACTTCGCTAACTATCTCTTGAACTTGTGAGTATTTGGTGAAAGCCACATTGGGTCATATTTCTGACTGATAAAAGCACTGCGGGACCTCGGTGCAGGACGTTTCTGAAGTGACGTTCTGCTTCTCGTGACAAGTCACGGTGTGTTCAGGTAACACGTGTGTTAATGTCAGGTTTGACAGCTCGGCTTTGCGATGCTAAAATGTGGCGGTGCCTGCAAACTAAAACAGCCTGTTTAAATATCTAATACGGAAGCGGAGATTGCTTAAACATTTCCCCTTTTTCGTAAAATGCTCTTACAGAGCACAGTCCGTAAAACCGTAGACTGTATAGCGTAAAACACCGGTCAGCGTTGGGGGGACTACTTTTTCCTCCGCGCTGGCGAGAAACCAGACAAGAGGACGCTCTGTAAAGTTGGGTTCGTATTGACCATGGCTGTGGCTTGGGAATATGCAACGTGTTTAATGAAAGTATCAGTGTTTTAGAAGCCTGGTACACATTTTACTTGTCATTACCTCCTGCAGCTGCTTTGTGGATTAATTGTTTTTATTTAAAATTCATCTTTAGGTGTTATAATTATTGAAGTTGTATTAGATAGATAGATGCTCTAATGTTCTTATTTATAGGTACTGTATGTGACCACTTTTAAAACAAGACATTTTGTTTCTCATTAACACCCTAAAAGATGTTTCAATTTGAGAATCAAAAATTCAGTATGTAAATAAATATAAGGAAGCACTTAAAGCAGAGCAAGCTGTGAACCTTTTGAGAAACGAGTGGGATGCTGGTGCATCACGAGGGGTTTCCCCTCCCATCTTATGCAGATGTTTTATTGAATGAGGCCTGTTACACCTACAGGAGCTTCAGAAAACTCTGTTCCAAACATTAATATGTCTAAATATCTCTGTGTGTGAACTCAGAATGAGGTTAGTCAAGACAGCTTAAGGCATGGGGTGCAGTGTGTTGATAATAAATTAAAGGTTCTGCTTATTTCAACCTGTTTCATTGTGAAAACACACTCTTTATGCATTAAGCTGAAACTGTAGCAAATATTTAACGATTTTCACTGTATACCCTTAGTTAAAATTATAAAAGACCCAATAGTTGAATGTGGTAATTACTAATCATATTTATTATAGGTTCTTATTACACATTAGTTACATAAAGGTGTCCAAAAATGTCATATACACAGACCTCGGGAACCTAGTGTTCATTTTGGCATTACTGTCTTGTCTGACTCGTTAAGAGGTTGTTCTGAAAATAAATACCACTGAATTAATTTAAAAAATACTGTATATATAAGGTTTGTGTGTGTGTGTGTGTCAAAATCACATTACTGTTATGGAAATTCATTTTCTGTAACCTCACTCATACAAAGTATAATAGTTAAAACTTAAAAGCGTTTTCGTATAGATTTTGCACAAACTTTAAAGCTACAAGGAGGCGCTTTCATTTTGTGTTGATTTTGGCGGTCTCTGTGGACAAAAGCGGTAGTTAAAGCTCCTCCTGCTGAAGCTCTGACTGCAGAGTGAAGGTGGCAGCAAAGCAGGATCTGGATCCGGTGGAGGTCTGGTTGGTGCTTGAGGCCCCGCTGGACTCTGAGCGGGAGGAGTTTCTGTTGAACCTGCATGATTTCATCTGATTTCACCGGAATCTGACCCGGTGACACTGATGACATGCATTAAGAAAAACTATATAGAAATAGACAATCTTCTCGTTTATTTTCTCGTTTACTTATAGTGGTCATACAGTAGCAACAGTATTAAATTGAGACTGTTTCATAACCAGTAAGATTTCCTCACAGTAACTTTAAGAAAGAAAGAGTCCAAGAATAGCCAGTGGACACTCCAGCAACTTAAACCATGTGGAGTTCAGAGGATAGGTTTGTGTTTGTTCTGTAACTCAACGCCATTTAAATGTTTTAACAATAAAGACAACTTTGAACATAATTTCTACGAGTATAGTGTAATACTTAAAGCCAGCCTATTTAGACAACAGAAAGGTTTAAACTTTTACATTAACACCTATAAGTCAAGCAAGAGGAGATCATTTGTCATATAAAACCAGTTATCTCACATGCTGAAACATGGACACACAGCATGCACCTCTGCCCTGTATTGTTGATCCAGACTGCCACCTGTTGGACAAAATCAGATCACACAAAATATCCTCGGGGCGCTACAGTAAGGGTCTCATTTAGAGAAACTGGAAACCAAATCTTGACCTTTGCCATCGACCACTTTTTAACGTTTAAAAATTGGAATAGCAAATATTTAAATGCTGCTGTTACAGTTGGAACCGGAACTAGACAAAGCTGCATGTGCGTTTGCTCTGGTGTGCGCACAGTCAGCTGTTTTAGGGACAATGGTGAGGCAAATGAAGTTGTTTGACTGTGTTTCTAACCTATGTTGTTAATGCATTGTATGTTGATAATTCAATATGTAAATGTATTGAGAGATACTAAGCATTATCTAGGGGAAACATTTAAAACTCACTATGGGAAATCTGTAGTTTTGAATGCCTCCAACAGTGGTGGCCTAGATTTCATAGACTTGCTCTTTTAACAGTACATTAAAAAATAAACTCAGGGTTCTCACGTTTCCTGGAAGACATGTGAAACTGTTATTTTCCCCATTTTCCAGTCATGGAAATCACCTGGAAAACGAGTGGGAAAAGTCAAATATCTTGGAAAATCTTGTGTTGCTGTGTTTCAACATTCTTCTATTTGTTTCTCAAGGTGAGAATGAACTACTGGCCTGTCTATCAGATACGCTTCCCAAAACGAATAACATAACAATATTTGTATTTCAGTTCACTAATGTTTACAATCGATACAGCCGAGCTAGATATAGCTCGTCTCTTATTATATTGACTCCTATCTTACCCGACTACTACACTTCCCAGAATGCATAGCGACAACGTCTGTACGCTCAACGGTCACGTTCACCAATTGCTAGAGCAGACTGTTGGTCGCTGTACTGAAGTCAGAAATGGTGGAAGTCGTCGGTCTATAATTGATCGGGTGTTATCTGTGTACCGATGCCGGGATGTGCTCCGTACCGGGCTGTAAGGGCTACAAGAAGGCGAGGTCACGGGGGGTGGTCTTCCACTCTCTGCCCACCAGAGACCTGGAGCGATGCAGGACGTGGCTAAAGGCCATCCAGAGCCCCAGGTTTGATGAAGATACACCAGTGAGTAAATACGGCAATATAAGAGTATGCAGCCAGCATTTTCAACCGGAGGATTACGAGCCGGACATACAAGCAGAATTTATGAAAACAACGCCCCGAAAAGTCCTCAAGTCCAACGTAATTCCAACTATTTTCTCCGGGAGGCAGCGAGAGAACCTCAGCGCGTCTCTGCCAGCAGGAGACAGGAGCCGGACGGAGGTAAACACGTTATGTTAACGTTACCTGTAAGAGAGGGGGAAGTTGACCACAGTTATTAGAGTTTCACAGCTGTGAGAAAAAGTGAACCCTCAATCTTTAAGGAAAACCTTGTGCGTCATCTCACAACACCTGATGTTCTTAAAGTAACGTTATTTATAATGATTCAAATATATAATGGATTTTTAACACATTTTTGAAAATATGAACTAGTGATTTGTATGAATTGCAATGTAATAAAATGTATATTAATGTTTCAATATACTCCAACAAATATAACTGTCAATAACACGTTTGAATATTGTTTCAGGTCGCACACATTTATGGTGGACATATGTCCTTTCAGGCCTCTATATTTGGATTAAGATACATTTTTACAACTTGAGAAATGGGTTCAAAGTATTTCTTACAGTGAAGCAACAGAATATGCATTAACCCAGATGATTTTAAGAGTTTTTACAGGATTCTTCAAATACCCCCTGAACAATAATTAGTGTCGTTAAATTACCTTCTGGGTTTTTCCAAATGACCAGAGTTTGGTTTTGGTGGAAAAACAAACGTTTCACTTTGAGAGTTGAATGTAATGTGAGTGCTTGTTTAATTTTGTTTGTACATCTTCTCAGCCTTCTTCCTTGAGTGTCCAAGGTACTGGTGTGGATATCGCATCCCCTTCTCCCTCCCTGCCAATTCCTGTGAGTATAACGCATGACATTGCTTGCCCGTTTTCTTTGTGAATAAGTTATGTTAACACGCTGTCAAAAGTTTTGTATGTAGTTATCGTGAACCCTAACTAGCTGAGTTGCACACACAGCTACTTGTTACTAATTTTGACATCTATCTCTATTATCCAAGATGGCCTCAGGAGCTCCAAGCACGTTGTCCCAGCCTCCTCCTCCGGCTGAACTCGGCCAACGTTTGAGCAGCGTGGCATCTGTGGACCGTCTGAGTGAGAGCCTCCAGCACGAGACTGAGTTAAGCTCAACAGCAACATCAAAATCAGATGAGAACGCGGAAAAAGACTTGAGTCAGTCAAAGACTATTGTGAATGACAGCTGTTTGATGGAGCTGCTTAAGAAGTGTCAGACATGTGGACAGCCCATAACCAAAAAGAAGGTGTCTCACTGCAGTGCACAGAAGAAGGTGAAGTGGAGCTGCCTTGGCGGACACAGAGGCGTATGGATGTCATCACCTCACCTTTGGGAGGCGTTTCCTGAAGTCCACCTCCTCACAACTCTTTCCGTTCTCTTTTCTGGAGGCACTTTTACACACTTTAAAAAATGGGCCAAACACCTGCACCTTCATTTTATGGGGCATAAAACCTTTTTTGAAATTCAAAAGGCCTACCTCAACCCAGAAATTAAACCGATGAACAGGACTGAGCGGGAAGGGATCTTTGCAAAGGAGGTCCACCAGCGGCCTGAAGGAAGTCGTCTTCACATTTCAGGTGATGGTTGCTGTGATTCTCCTGGTTTCAGCGTCAAGAACTAAAACGTTTGACAACAAGTGCAACTGCTAACATAAAACACAAGGGAATGTCAGGTTCCTTTAGATCACTGTATATGTGTACGCATCGCTTCACTTCAGTAAACAGCGGAAATTATTGAGTGAGTTAATCAATAACACCACAGAATGAAAAAGACCACTACATTAATGAGCCAGAAACTAAAATCTCAGTACTTGTAACTGAATGTCTTCTTGTTTTTACTTTGAAGATCCTCTGAAGGCCAAGTCGAGGAGAAGAGAGAAGGGAGCTCTATCGTCAAGGTGAGGCAGCATGTACAGGCTATACATGTCAAAGGGGAACTGATTCCACACAACCAAACCGGTTTACTTTTAATGGAGAGCACCGATTAGCACGACAGACTGTTGTATGAAGTCATCTGTGGATCAAGAGGAAACTAAAGCCAACTAAAATTACTCGAGTGACATCAATCAGGGGACTGTGGTTGGGAGACAACAATGTTTGAGCAGAAAGCTCATCTTGAACTGGGCTTGTGGAGCCGAAAGGAAGTGAGCAGGGCAGCCCTGATAACCAGCAATTCATTTTAATGTAATAAAACAAATAGAGAGAGACAGGCAGTTCAACTTGATAAAACTGAAAGGTGAAAACTGGGTTATGGCTTTATTGGATGAACTTCTTAATCACACCTAGTAATGGAGTATGAGGTCACAGTTTTCCAGGAAGTGTAACTCCCCACGGGACCATTAATACATATACTGTATATATTTGAAAAACAAGAAGATGATGTGAGACCTGACCTCTGATAGATAATTCAGTTTAAAAAACGTGCGGCACGTGATGTGCTGGTGCAAGTCACTCCACGAGTAAGTTTATTAAATTTTCCTCAATAAATTTTATCTCCCAAATCTGTATGTAATATATTTGGTATAGATATAAAGAGTAGTGCTTAAATATCTCTCATGCCTGTTGTATGCATTGCCTTGTCTTTTTTTTGTCATATGTCCTTCCATGTATCCTCATCTGTTAGTTCAAAATAAAGTGAATAAAGCATCAATAAAGACATTTCAAGTTTTTTTTTATCTACACAACAAAACAGTGTGCCTTGATTCCCTGGAAACCCCATAACTAATATTTGTTGTCATATTATTGAGATACTAGGGGTGAGACAAGGATCAAATAACTCATTTACCATCAAAAGATGACTTATCATTTAAAAGTTTTGTAGGCAAGAAAACTGATTAGTCGTCTAAGATCTAGATCTTTAAAAAATATGAAGCTCTTTTACTTTGTTGGATACAGACCAGAACTCTATATGATTGTATAGCTCAGTGGTGATTGAAAGCCATGTTTCTCTATTGTGGGGTCAAGAGGTGGTTCAATATACAAGCTGGTAATTCTAGTTTTTACAATATAATCTGTTCAAGAATTTTGAATGAAACTAACATCCAAGCTGTGATTGTCTTTTCCACTCTTAACTGAATCTCGACTATGTTTTTAAACAACTACAGATAAGGATTTTTATAACTATGCCTTCACATCACAATCTTTTCAGCTGCAAGTAAACTTTAGATCCTGTATTTCACGTTTGCTCTAAACATTAGGTTACATTGTATACAAATCTTTAATATATTTACTATTTTTCAATTTGAAGACAAACATTTCTGTTGGTGCTAGTAGTTGGGCAGTTGGTTCACCCAAATAAAGATAGTTGTCAGGTAAAAAAAGGAGATCTAGTCTTTAGTCTTGGTTGCAGTACCTGTGAGTTGAGTTGTTCTTGCAACAACTCACTTTTTTACCAAACATAGCTTACCTTCAGGAAATAAACACCATTCCAATAATTGAAAATATAATATAAAGTTTCCTTTTTTTTTACAGTTATGAAGAAAGATCCTTGATATCTACTGGAACATTTATGCAAGACCCTTCTGCACCATCAAGTCTTGGGTGTGTGTCGGCCTCTGAAAGGTAAGCAGTCACAACCTTGCCTTGTTTTTTCACTCACCAGTTACATGAACAGAACCCCCTCGAAGGGCATTTTATTGCTTTGCGTCACCCTATGGCTTCTGCATTGGATCAGGCGTTCGTGTTGGTGTCACACTAAACCGTTAATCTCCACATGCTGTAACAACTTCTGAATTGTCAGAAGATGACTTTCTACATGTGTCTGCAGAGGTAAACAGCGCCAACTAGATGATGAGGAACATCAGAGTGAAGCCACACATGTGGCAACAGAGGTGGACTGGCTCCAGGACAGGTTCATGTTGATCTTTTTGAGAATGTACATTTCAGTAGGTTTATATGTCTGTCAGTACTGTATCGACTTTCCCAAGATACATTGTCACCCTCTTGTCTGATCCAAGGCCCTCTCTGTAATTTGTCATTTTCAGCTTTGAAGAGATGGAGGTCACAATTGACGACGTTGACTGCAAAAGTGTGAAGAGCCGACTGTAATTTGATACTATATTAGACGGGATATACAGTATATCGTATCTAAAATGTTGCTTCTGTGGCTTATTTGATTCTAGTATCCTTGTTTTTATCTAATAGATCTGACTTGGATAGTGATCTTAAAAGCATTGTAGAAACAACTGAGCTGAGCGCTGTAAAGGCTGAGGACAGCTGTGATGAAGACGTCTACGTACCAATAGTTCCTCAGAGGTACGTAGACGCCTTTGATGAGGCTGCATTTTCCAGAGTCAGGATCTTGAAGTGAATCATATGCACTCAGAATATATTGAATAGAACAAACTTGCTTTTTGGGGTTTTTTATCTTCCTTTAGAAGACATCTAATTTTGTTTCAGTTGTTCCTTCCATCTTCAACTAATTTTTGCTCACATCTCATTTTAGAGGGGAAAAACTTTCCAGATGCACCTATATAGTAGAGACACAGATTCATGTTGGGTTGAATCATAAATAGCCTACTTAAGATTCTGAACAAGAATATTGTTTACTATTCAACCATAAAACCACCTTTCAAACTTATTTATTTAGTTCAGCAGGGTTCATTGGCCTAATAGTGCAAAGAGTAAAAAAAAACTGTCTTTGGATTTTTTATGTTATGCAAACCAGGTGTGTCAGTCTGTTGTCTTTTATTACAGGTCCACAGCCTCTGAGCTTTTACTGGAATGTGAAGAAGAGGAGCTGGAGCCATGGCAGAAACACACTTTACGTGTTCACCTGAAAGAAGAGGAGGTGGAGCCATGGCAGAAACACACTTTACGTGTTCACCTGAAAGAAGAGGAGGTGGAGCCATGGCAGAAACACACTTTACGTGTTCACCTGAAAGAAGAGGATGATGCTGGAGAGTTGAGTATGTTGCACCAAATTCTTGAAGAAATATGTTGGTGTTGAGGTTTTCAAACATTGCAGTTCTGTATTCTTTTTAAAAACGCAAATAACTTTAGAGTCGAGAAATGTCATGTATGCATTTCAAAATGCCCTGCTTCTGTTTGTTGAATATTGATAGTTTATCATTATATTTATGTGGTATTTAGAAATATAAAAGGTATTTCATGGATGGATTGAGCTAAACTTGTAGAATGCCTGTTTGCTGTAACAAACACTCTCACCAGAGATGTTAATTTGCTAAAGTTAACTTGCATCCTGTTTTGATTTGTTCTTCTTGTTTGTTCTCATAGGTAATGATCAAACAGACTGTAAGCCAGATTCTTTAACTCTTCAGAGCTGGTCAGCTTGTCAGCACACAGTAACACCTGAAGTCTTTGGTGTTGTCCACACTTCTGAGGTGCATCAAATCAGCAACAACCCTGTGTCCTTATCCAGTGCCCGGAGTCCTAAAGTATATGCAGCATCATCTACCCAGCTGTTTTCAGACCAGTCCAACCCACAGACTCTCTCGCCACCCTTTTCTCTGCCGTGCTTTACCGTAGTTAAACTTGAATCAACTGGCACATCAAACAAACAATGAATAATTAACTTTAGTGTACCAACAGTCATAATGGGTAAGTTGACAAGGGGTGATAAACATAATGTGTTGAAATTGAATAACATGCAGATTATTTGCACATCCAAGTGACTATTGGCTCTTTCTGTCTGGCGACAGTGGTGAGCCCTGCACACAGCACCTGTTGCCTCATTTTTCAAGTATATTTTTTTTTTTTAAATCCTTTTAGTTAAACCTGTGGTATGTCTGTTACATTCCACATCAAAGATTTTATTGTACATTATTATTGTGTACAGTCAAAATAAATTATTAAATCAAAACCCATGTTCTGGTGCTTCATTGCTTCGTTATTCAAATGCATGGTATGGGTTTATAGTTTCTCTATAATACATTAGGATGTTGTGATATCAATCATTGTAAGTAGCTGTGAAGCAGCATAGAAGTGTTTAGTTTAACCATAGCTGTTTAATAAAGGTTGGTCTAAATCGGTGGTTCCCAAACTCATGCCTCCATCTGGAAGCCCTTTCCACCATCAAGTAACCTGTTTGCATATTTTTATTTCATCAACCATAACATTTCTGGTGCAAACTAGAAAGAACATTTCGGAAAAAAATAATGTTTTGCTTTCTCAGTCAATTTTGGTAACTTTAATTTAGACATGATACTATCAACCACAGTACTACAGTACATGTGAACTACAATTGTGCAGTCTCCTGTTTAATTCAGAACATGCAGGACAATGGCAGCTAAGACTGTTCAGGAACAAGTGCTACTGTTTAGATTTGTGTGTCCTTTCTCTTGCGCTTGCACATTACTGATGGCACAGTGACTAATAGTCAAATGGTGAAAAAACATTTGTTAAGTTTGCATACATGAGCAGAGTGTACAGATGCTATATTTAAATGTGACAAATCTATTAAATTCTTTTCTGTACCATTATCTCCGCAGGGGAGCTTCTTTAGTCAACAGCAGCCACAGAATATTTTCTAGACCTCTCACCCATAACTACTGATCTTCTCCACCATAAACATGCTTGACGAGTCTAGTGAGACTAGTCTTGTGGGACCCAGTGCTTACTGCCACTAACAATCCGGTATGAACAATATGACTTAAGGGGGGGAAATCACATGACCTATATGGACCATGGTATTTTTGACTTTGGAAAGGGAACATAATCATAAGGCTTAACTTAGGGTTTTACTTTTGTCAGGAAGCGCTCAACCTTGTCTTTGAGGTGATGGATCCCTTTACACTGCACAGATAAAAAGGCCTGATGATAAACCCTGAAAAGAAAGAACAGTGTTTTAAATCTCACTGACTCCTAATACTAATATTTGCAAAAAATTAAAAAGACATACATTGTCTAAGTTATTTCATTAATGACTGAATGTGTTTATTTACTTTTTAGAATTTATATTCGTAGTGTGTAAGCTATTATGTTGAGTACGTTAAGAGCTATCTAGGAAGCAGTGTTCCTGTGTATGTTGCTGGTGCTTTTATTGTGGAGGATGTGACAGGAAAAGAAAAAGTGGAAAGAGTTTCTGGTGAAGTGTGTGAGAAGTGAATAAAGTTGCTGACATCTTGGCGCAGAATACGGAACCCCGTGTTTATTATTTTATTATTATTCTAAAGTATAGGCGCAACATTAACGCTCGGCTACAGTAGTATTGATATACTTTTTCGGAAATCATCAAACTAATTCAAATGATAGAATATAACATTCTGTATGTTTTCAACCTTTAATCCGTAACCAAAACAAATTTGAATTGCGTTATTGGAATCAATTAATCTAAAGAAAACATGTGGGTGAGGCCAGGAAGTACTACAAATACACAAAGGAAGTGATGGAACAGAGTGCTCTGATTGGACCAGACAGTCCATGCACTTCCGCTGCTTTTTGGGCTCGCGATCTAATATACCTGTCTATGCTAGCGATACAATTTTCTCACTCCTGTGCGAGGTAGACCCGCACTATCTCAACAATATCCTCCTCAGACCGACGTGCGATGCAGTCCGTATCTCGACATGGCCATTTCTTAAGACCCAGCGGCTGTCTGTGAGAGAGAGGTAGGCTGAAACACACCATGTACATCAAACTCTGAGTGCAGTCTTTGTCCCAACATCCACCTCTCAGTGTGAGCATGCTAACGAGCTAATGTTATGGTGCGGGGATCGATAACCAATAACTCCTGCAACGTGCCGATAGGACGAAATAGAGGTAGAACTGCGTTGACATCGTTACAATCCTCATGTCCACCATGTCGCGTGTTGCAGCAGTTGAAGAGTAGGAGCATTGGGAATCATAACTGTTAGCTTGTTAGCATTAGCTACCTGACCGTTGAAAAGGACAGAGTGGTGAATGTGAGCTAGCTACGCTAACATAACATATGCTCATAAAATGTTAAGTTAGTCCCTTAAGGTTTGAGGGATGCTAATAGCTATGTTTTCATTTATGTTTTAATAACGTTTAATTTGATTGTGAACAGTGTTCACTCAAAACTACAACAGCATATTTACATCCTCAGATGTCGCCTGTCACAGTTAGTAAATGATTATAACCTATGCCATTCTATAGTGTTTTTGTGTCTTTATTTGGGCAAATTTCTATAGCAATAAATACTGTCGCCATCTTGGAAGGCAGTTGAAAAGTTAATAACAACGGGCCCCAATTGTCCCTGATTTAATCAATTTTATTTCTATTCTAAAACATTTGTATATATTGTTCGAGTGGTTTCACGTGTTCTGGCTAACTGTTTCAGAAAGCCCACTTACTTTGAAAGCAGTTATAAATACTTGAGTATTAACATTGGTTAAAATGTCCATGTAAAGTGAAGGGTGAAGCCTACAGCTCTGAGTCCACTGGGTATTATCCCGCGTCTCTGCAGCCCCACTGACCTTTACAGAGTATTTTATCTTCTTTCAGCGCATTGTTTTGGTTTCACGGCCCACAATATTACTGCTCTCAACATCTGTTTCAGTCACAGCAGGCAGCTGTTTTCAAGGAAAAGCCTGACTATACAGTACTTGCCCACCACCAAATGACAGACGGACAGAGTTAGTGACTAGCTGGTGGACATAGTGGAGTATTTAGAACCTAAAGAAACAGATATTCGCCTCATGAGTTGGTGGGAAAAATAAAAGGAAAGTGAATATTCACCGTTGGACTTACAAGTGCCAGGTGCACAGAAACGCCACACCAATTGAATGGAAATGTTGCTCCATGTCTGTAAATAATATGTAATTGTTTGCCAACGTGCTGGCCATAACATCTGTATAAGAGAAATGTGACAATGTTGTGTTTGTAGCTTGTTGTGTTGGCAAAAAAAATAGATGATTATGTCCACTGTTATTTATTTTATTGACAATGGAAGTGGGTACATGTAATGTGAATGTTGTTGTCGTAGTGATGAACCCACAGGAAATTATCATCTGTGCAGTCCAGTTATTTTGTGTTTCAGCTCAGTGTTTTAGTTGTGCCCTTCACACAGTCTACTCTCATCAACCTCGCTTCCAGAGCAGCAATAGGCAGCTGTTTTCAGCAAGAAAGTGCTGACAAACTCATTGTACACTACCTGCTCAACAGTGGAGAATTTAGCAAGCTAAAGACAACGGTGCCCTTCTCTTGAGTTATTGAGGAATCAAAATGGTTCTTGAAGGAGACTTACTTTTGTCAGGTGGCCAAAAACAAGACTACACATGAATGCTGATATTGCTCTGTCTGGTGGAAGTGTGAATAGGCTAACACATAACCAGAACAACTTGAATAACATCTTACTTGTAAAGCGAACAAGTGTGAACGATTCTTTTTAAGAATACGTCTTTGCTCCAGCATTTACACTTGTGCTCTTCCGGGTGTGACTTGTCAAAATGTCAAACGTGTATTTAGTTTCCTTGCCATGTGTTGTGCTTCAGCCTAAACTGTTAAAAGCGGAAAATGTTGAGAAAGATGGTGTGTTTTTACAATTTAAAAATGTCCTGTTCATAAATGTACAAAATAATTATAAAATCTTGGTGTTATTACTATTTTATTCAATATTTTATTAAATCGTTAACCCCGTTTTTTGTCGCTGAATTCATTTTGTGATATAGATAAGCTGCTTGTAAAATATATTTGATCATTGCTTTGCAGTATTAGTATCTAAAAAGTATGTAGTAAATGTACTACAGGAAGTGGTGTTCGGGTTGGCTAAATATTGTGTTTTTCTGCTGCAGATCCACGATGTCTGAACTTTTTATGGAGTGTGTTGAGGAGGAGCTGGAGCCATGGCAGAAACAAGTTCCTGAGGTTCAATTGATAGATGATGATGATGACGACGACGACGAACCTATCTTCGTTGGAGTGCTCTGTATGTCATAGCACCACCATCTGCCTTTTAGTAATACACAAGCTGCTCAGTATTGATAGTTGTGTGCTTGTCTTCCAGCCTGTTGCATATAATCTTTGCTGAGAGTTTGTCTAAGTTTACTTGCATATAAAGACAAACTATCCCGTTGAAGTGCTTATTTTGGCCACTTTTGTATGTTCTTGCAGCTAGTAAGCAGAAGGATGGTAAGCCTAACCGTCCTCCACCTCCTCAGAGGAACAGTGCAGCAAAACAAGAAATACAGCATCCTGCTCCTAAGCCTGTCATTGGCTCCTCTCAAATGCTGCCGTTGTGTCTGGCTGGAAAGGCAATGAACAATACAGCCAATCTGACAACAGTGACCCCACAGCCTGTTATCGTCAATAACCAGGTATTTGTGGTATTCAAATATTTTTCTGCAAATACTGTGCAATAAAAACAAACAGCTGTTAAGTTAATTATCGTCTCTTTCTTTTTTTTTTTTTTTTTTTTTTTTTTTTTTTTTTAAATAGGGCTTTATTGTCACTTCTCCACAATTAGCAAACAGCAGTGAGTTTATTGCCTCTCTTGGGAGCCACTACCCTCCCGGGACTTCATTTACAATCGTACCAGGTAAATCTGAGTATGATATAATATGAGGAGGAAACCTTCTTTCCCCTGATTTTGTTATGTAACAGAAAGGCTTCATTGAAGACATTTTAATCCGGTAATGTTAAGTTTGTGTGTTCTGTCTTTCAGCTGCTCAGCAGCATCTTTTTCAGCAGGTCACGTCAGGCTTAGTAATGCCTGGTGCTGTCCACAGGCCTCAGGTGCAACAAATCAGCAACAATATTGTGACGTTGTCTAACGTGCTGACTCCTGCCGTCTATTCAGCTCAATCCCACCAGATACAACTCAACCGCTCCCTCTCACAATCTTTTCAGACCTTTTCTATGCCTGTAAAGGCCGCGAACAATAACAGAGGTAATTGTATTTTCTAATGTAACGTTTAACATTAGTTCACCATACTTGCAGCAATAACAAATGTTTATGTATTTTGGGGGATTTCCTACAGATCAAAGCTCAGTCAAACGAGTATTGGCACCGCAGCAAACGGACAGCGCGGCAAAAAGAGCCAAGGTTGATTTAGGTAAGTTTCTGTTACTGCGGCAATTTAAAGGGGAAATTCGCCATCTTGTATGTCGATGTCCAATCAGTGCTGATGGTAAATGTAGTCAAATGAAGAAATAAATTCCCCAGTGCGTGCTATATTAACCGAGAATGCAGATGTTTTTCCTGCTGCAGAGCCGTGTTGTGTTCTACATGTCCCAGGATGCATTGCACACAAGTGGCAAGTTCGCTACATTTGATAAATATACAAAGTAGACTCTGAAAATGACAATGAAGGAAATATTCGTACACCTAAACAGAAACAAACCCGTACATCTTCTGTATTCAAGTTTATCTTGTACACCGAACTAAGAAGAGCTTAGTTACCAGCAGCCCCAAAATCGCCCTGCTGGTCTAACACACACGCGGCTCGCTCTCTCGCGAACTAACACTGCTCGCGCTGACATTCAAAGCTGAAGTAGCACTCTGTAGTTCTTCCGTATACCAAGTCCTTCACTGGTATACGGAAGAACAACAGATCTATCGCATGCAACACAGAGAAAATCGAGAGAGCTGCAAGCGTTTTACACACCATATACCTAACTCGGAGAAGGAAAGATAAGGTTGAAAATCTGCAAATTCTCCCTTTAATGATCCAGTTTTGTTGTCTAATTTATGTCAGCACTGTCAATTGCAACATCTAACTTGTTTTTCTGTAGGGACGAAAAAAGCAATGCTTCCAGTGGAAAACGGCATCTTCAAGAAAAAGTGCCAAAGGTGTCAAGAAGAATTCCTCACACAAGAGGCCCTGAAATTTCATATGGGGGTGAGTGAACATATTGTAGTATTGTGTTCACGAGTGGAAATTAAGATGAAAATGCTGTGATAAGTATCCACCTAAAAAAAGCTGTTACTGGCACACAGTTTGATCACAGGGGTGGCAGATTGAAAAGTAGATGTTAGTCATCAAACGTTTAGTTCCATAATATTATCAGCAGAGATGCACCGATACAGATACCATACCTGGGCTTTGTCTATCCGCCAATACAGAGTACCGATCTGGCACCACTTTTTAATTAATACGCTGTATGCCTCACTGTGTGGAAGTGACGATGATCATTCTTTTATAATATGATTATATACATATGTTGTTTTTTATTAAAATAATAAATTGTACACTAGAAACCTGGTAAAAAATCTTCGAATTAAACAGGAGTTATGTAATGTGTATATAGTTTATAAACATAAACATAGATTGGCCCCATTTTCACTGATATCTGATCCAGCTTTTTTAGTCAACGCTCAGTATAAAGTGCATCCTGATTGTCAGAGTCATCAGAAGTCTTTTTCCTAATGGTATATTTTCTAACTGGTCTTACCTGTATCTTATCTTAACAATCTCCCTCAAAGTGATTTTGTCATTTAAGCATTCTGACATCAGTTCTTTTTAAATACAAATGCTCTTGATGTGTTTGCATCAACATGAAGTTTGCCTATTTATCTAAAACATCTCTTTATTTCAGAGCTGCTGTGCCATTGTGGAAAGCGCAGCTCAATCAGTGCTGAATATTGGTGGAAACAAGCGCATCATGCTGGTCTCAGAGTTCTACTACGGACGCTTTGAGGGAGATGGGAACAAAAAGGACACGCAGAAGCCCAACGCCACTTTCAAGTGCCAGAGCTGTTTAAAAGTTCTCAAGAACAACATCAGGTATGATCATATGTTTTCTTGCCCCCATTAAAATTGGGATAAAATCCATTTATTTCCATATGTTATGGTTTATTTGTTTAACACTGCTGAACCAGTGATGTGAGTTCTGTTTAAACCCAACGCTGTGAGGCGTCAAAAACTCTATACAGTCGTTAATATGCTCTCAAAAAGCAGACTGAGACTTAAAGGACTTGCTGAAAATCTGCTCATTGCCACTAAAGAGAGTGTGGATGTCTACCGTGGTCCTCACTGCAGGTTTCCTCTCAGATGGAGGACAGTAGCCGACCCGTTTCCCTCATGAGCCTAAACATGAAAAATGACTGCTAGTTGAGGTGCCGAAAGAACTGTTCCTCTGAATAAATAACTTTGCTTTGGAACATTGCAAAAAAACACCTTCTGTAAGCGGCTTTTAATGGGGGAAACACATTTGTACTGCGACCTCTCATAGACGAGGTCAAAGTTCATCCACATAAGAATTTCTATTAGGGGAGCTGAGGCAGCAGAATGTGCCGGCTGAAAATAGTCCGTGCCTCGCCAGGGCGGCGGTGGCAGGTAGCTGTGGAGGCGCCCGTGGAGCACTACATCATTAGGCAAAACCAAATATTTGTGTAATTGCTGATATTATAACGGTCATTATACATGCTTAGGAAGTGAGGTGCCAGGAAAATACTTAATTTATCTTCAAACCCTTTGGGACCTTGACCATAACCGCTCCACACTACTTGACAGAGGTTTGGTTTTAATGCGCCAATTTTCTATTTAAAAATGGAAATATTCCTCAGATCACTTCAAATGTGCTGCATTATAGATTATGAGCCCACGGTTGTTGTATGTGTGCGATGATAATGTTACAATCTGGTGAATGTAGAGGTAGAATGAAGACCTTTTTTTTCTCACCACCAATTAGCCGATCATTTTCTAGATTAGTTGGGTAATTGTTGAGTCGATGAAATGTCAGACATAGTGAGAAAATGTAAAACAAATGCAAGTTCAGAGAGCCCAGCCAGACATCCTCATATCCAAACCCCAACAATACACAATTCACTATCGTATAAGACAAACCATAGCAGCAAATCATCATAACCTCATAGCTGAAGCCAGCCAATGTTGACATTTGACATGTTGAGTTGATCCTTTCAGCTCTGTTTGTTGTTTAGTGTCTAATTTGTGTGTTTGTGTGTTTGTGTGTGTGTGTGTGTGTGTGTGTGTGTGTATACACACGTACGTCCCCTCTCGTGCAGGTTCATGAACCACATGAAGCACCACCTGGAGCTGGAGAAGCAGAACAGCGAGAGCTGGGAAAGCCACACAACCTGCCAGCATTGCTATCGACAGTACATGACTCCATTCCAGCTGCAGTGCCACATCGAAAGCGCTCACAGCCCGATTGAATCCTCAAGTATGACATGATAGTAGTTACGGCTCAATCTGACAGCTGATGACAGTTTGCTCAAACACCATGGGGACCTTTTGTGATTTTCCTTTTCATTCCTTTTTAAGCCAATTGCAAGATATGTGAGCTGGCGTTTGAGTCGGAGCAAGTTCTCCTAGAACACATGAAGGACAACCACAAGCCCGGCGAAATGCCCTACGTCTGCCAGGTCTGTCACTTTCTACTGAGCTGGGATTTGGTTTATTCTTGAAATGATGAAAACATTCACTGATACTGAAATTCTGTTTCACTGATTCCGCAGGTCTGCAATTACAGATCCTCTTTCTTCTCAGAAGTGGAGACACATTTCCGAAGTGTCCACGAAAACACAAAAGACCTGCTCTGTCCCTTCTGTCTCAAAGTGCTTCGAAGTAGTCATATATACATGCAACACTACATGAAACATCAGGTACGATGCTGCATTTCATTTAGTCTGCTGTGAAGCTACTAAAGACTTTCTAAGAGCTTCATACTCAAATATAACACATTTGGAGTCATGGCCGACAAACCAATGTGTTTACTGTGAATTCATAAGATTGTAAAAAGTATCTTTGCAAGAGTTTGAACTCACTTTTAGTTTGTACTATTAGCTCCAACTCCCACGGTTGGATTGATTTGGTTGTCTGCCTTGCATCTTACCGTAATACATAACAGGCTGACAATGAAACCTGCTTCTCTTCACCTGCCCTAAAGGAGCAATAACTATGTAGAGTTGGAACCAAACTAAATGAATTGCTGCTCTATTAATAGCAATGAAATTAGTTTCTCTCATACTCATTATATTCTTTCTGTGAATACAAATGAAACATCTTGGCAATTAGCCTTTAGTCGCACCACTTATTCATCAAGTTGTTTTTTCTATTTCAGAAAAAAGGGATCCATCGCTGTGGAAAATGCAGACTGAATTTTCTCACCTACAAGGAAAGAGTGGAGCACAGGACTCACTTCCACAAGACTTTCAGAAAACCTAGAGCCCTGGAAGGCCTTCCTCCGGGAACAAAGGTCTGACCCCGTCATAACAACATCAGTAGGATATTCATTTTAGATTTGTTCATACAAATTAAATTCAGTGTCCATGCACATTGTGTCCTCTTTCCAGGTGACCATTCGAGCCTCCCTGGCAGCAAAGACTCCCACATTGCAGACCTCCCCCGATCGATCTGGCTTCATTGTCGGTCCAGAAAGTTTCAATCAGCAAACCAAACCTCCAACCGGTGTTTCAAAGTGTAAATCAAACAGCTCCGGAGCAGGAAAAGCCAAGACGACTCTGATCAAGAAGCAAGATGGCCGGACTACCAGGCACAATCTGGCACTCAGGAATCTCAGGTTGTTAACTCAACTCAGCAGCCGGAGACACGACAGCAATAACTAATTACAGTTTTTATGGAACAACAGAATTCTTTGTTAATACAGAACGATAATTTGTGCTGCAGTTAAAACAAAAAAATGGGTCAAATCTTTGTTATTAAAAGGTTTTAGTACTTTTAGTTTGAAAACTGCCCTTGGAAATCTCCAGCATGTCCCCACTGATACAGAGCCCCACCTCCTGGGTATTTATGACAGGGGGGGGAGCAGATTAATAGACGTTATTAAATCCTAGTAATACACAAAGTGGCTAATTGCATTTTCAATAATTTTTCCTGACAGTCTTCATTAGGCTGGCTAAAAATAATATCCCGTAAAGAAGATGGAGTGGGAGCTGTTTCTTTAACACACTAATGAGTGTGATATTTGGTTAATTGGGCTCAGTAATCAAAAACAATATACTTCCTTTAGTCACATGATGTGGGCTTTTAAGCAGATGAGACATAAGATAATGTAGTGGTGTAACAGAAGAGTTCAGACTAGTAGAATATAATAAGGAACCTGCAGACCTCTCGGCACACAATTAACATAAGTAATTGGTTTGTGCATCTGCTATAATGAACCAACTTAGGCTGGTACCGTTCTAAACATTTATCCCTTTCAGTGTAATCTGACCTGACCCATGAAAAGAAGGTATTCTCAATCTGAATATCATTGTGTTTTGTGCAAATTTCAGAGTCAATGGAGGCTCGTTCACGTGCATCGAGTGCAACACACAAGTCGACGACTTCTTTTCTCATTTCCCAATGTTTTCAAATTGCGGTGCGTGCAAATATCGGACAAGTTGCAAAGTCGCCATTGGGAATCATATGATCAGGTGAGTGGAGAAAAAAAACGATGTTATTTTAGGCCCAGTGTATTTATCTGACAAATCTTTCTTTGTACTTTGTTAGATTCCATAGTACCATAACCAAAAACAGATTTTTGAAAATGGATCATAAGAAAAGCCTCGCTGCATTAAAGTAAGTATGCTTCATTAAGTCTGTTCTGCATTCAATAGTAAACAGTGTTTTGTGATTGAAACTGCTCAAACGTACATTTTTGCTTCCCCCCCCCCAGACTAACCCTGGTCTGTCTCAACTGCGACCTCCTCGTGGACGCGTCAGGTGGTGACCTGATGACCAAACATTTAACCGATAGACCAAATCACATATGCAAAGTCATTCAGGAGAAAGGTACGTGTCTTTCTTCCTGTACCATGGCTGGTGTTAAGTGTTGCACTTTTCTTGAAAAGGTTGTTTCTTCTTTTTAACCCAGCAGATATCAAAGCCAAAGATCAAGTGTGAGTAGAAACCACTACCCACATCACATCTTGTCATCTGACTATCTTTAATCTAGAAAAAATACTGTTGAAGACCAAAGAACATGTATTAAATTCTAAGTCCTGAGATTAATTTGCATCGTTGTTGTTTTTTCTTCCACAGCTAGCTACAAATCTTCTGTGTAAATCACATGTCCTGTGTTCTCCTTTAAGAAAATATCTAAATTGTCTGGTGTCACAATGGCGCCCCCTGTCTTTGCATTAGCCAGTTGGGAAACATCTACCTCCTTATCGACGTAGAGAACTTGTTTTTAAAGAGCCAATCAAATTGTTTAATTTTCAACCTTATTTGCTTAAAGCGATCTTTACACTGACTAACAGCCAGACAGCTGTTAGCACAAAGACACTGTTTCACATTAGCGGTTACAACATCATTAGAGCTGCAGTTGTTAGTCGACCAACCGATTAGTCGATTGACAGAAATATAGTTGCTTATTACTATTTTCATAATCAGTTCTTTGTAAAAGTAATTTGTAATGCAAAAATGGTCGAAAATGCTGTTTTCAGCCATTCCAATGTGGAGGTTTCCTGCTTTTCTCTGACACTGAGACCCACTTGTTTCACATTTTTCTGACATTTTAAAGACCAAAACATTACTCTAGCAAATAAACAGCAGATTGGTCGATAATAAAAAATAATCATTAACCATCATTGATTCCTAAACTTCATTATAACCTCTTTGATTTCACTAGAGTACCAGTTAACAAATGTCCAGTACTGCTGTGTAATATTGTTTGGCAGCAGTGTGTTTGGCCAACTAATTAATAGTAGCATATTGCTAAAGGCTTTAATTATATCTAAAAGATGCTTTTTAATGATGTCCTCTTACTTTTGTGCAGGCAACTCGTCTTGAGCCAGCCTGCTAAAGTCTTCTACGTCTTAACGCCGGTGCCTGCTCAAAGACTATAGGAGAAGGAAAGTGTCACATCTGGAAGTTTCACTGTTGACCAACCAGAGTCACAGCCGATGTTGCCAGAAGCTGATCAGGAAAAGGGTCCCGCAGGAATAACTGTTACTGAAGTTTCCTCTGAAGGACACTCGAAGCAGTCGTCGCTGCCTTCCTGTACATCAGATGGAGTTTGAGATCTGTGTGACGAGTCGGTGGGTAACTCTGAGAGGCTGGATGTCAGAGAGCAGGTCCCTGAGAACGAGACGGGGGAACAACAAACCTAATCGCAATGAACCAGTAAACAATGCTCCTGACACGGAGATGATTTAAGAATAACCGCTTCGTCAGTTGGCATCGTTTCTTTTACAAAAATCAAACATGATAATGCTGGTATTTGTTACTGATCCCCTCAAGAGTCGTGTGTTTGGCAAGTCGATTTCAACAGGTTTTTTTTTTTTTTTTCCCTCTTCTGCACAACTTCCATTACCGAACTATATGTAGTGTCCTTGTATTGATGAACAGAAATACATCCACTACCGTCTTCTTAGTTGCCCTATAAACTACAGAGTTAAATAATTAGTATAGTCGTACTTTTAAACATCAGAAATTAAACTTAAATGATTTTGGCCCATTTTGTAGTTCTTAAAAGTTTCAAAACCTGATTGATGTCCTGAAGGAAACCCATCTGTCATGAAGAGGACGGTGTTCTGCTCCTCGGGGTTTTTGATCTGCTTAACTGAGAAAGAGGAACACTTGACTGTTGACTCACTCAGTGGTACAGAATATACAGGCTCACTTTCTCTACGGTGATTTATTGATGCATTTTAAATTCTCAATGCAGTCCTCTTAAAAGTACAAATACTGAAATAATGTGATGTTGCCTCTTATTCCAATTTGTTTAAGCAGTTTGAGTCCCGGTTCCATCTGAGGTTTGTTTTGCTGTAATCTTGATTTGTTTTAGCTTGTTTGGGCTTTTGAGACATTTTACTTTCCCTTAATCTGTGGTTAGTTGTCATTGAATAACGTTTTAATTATTTTATGAGAAGTAATCTCTAAAACGCTCCCAGTAAATGTAACTTGAGGTTGTTCTGACAAGAACATACAATATCACTGAATTGTTTTACATTGTTTACAGAAAAGTCTGGGTTTATGGCAGAAGTATTGGTCCATAATTGATGTGGTACAAGTACATTATGTTGTCACCAGCTGGTTTCACTAGAGTAACATGTATCTCAACACTCAGAAAGTTGCTTTAACTATCACAAATGATATAGTACATGTATAGATAATGTAAGCATCCGATTTTGTTCTCTGGGAAAAGAGTGTCCGATTTGTGAAATGTGGATAAAACAAAAGTAAAAATGGTAAAGTAATGAATATTAGGTGAAATATACCACAACTATTTGAGGAGTGAGCAGAATAATATGTGTATTCCATTGTGTTCTCAACTATATTTCATTGTCTTCCTTCTGACTGTTGAAAGTGCAAGCTTGTAAAATAAATGTAAACGCATAACATTTGGCGGAGGTACTCAGCGCCACACTTCAACTTGATCAAAATCTGTCAGCCAATTTTTACGCCGCAGCTGCTGGTTGATGAGGTTTCCTTTTATTTTGCATATACGTTTAAACAAAATGTCGAATTCCCTGTATCTCTGGGAATACTTTATACAATATGATTTGTTTACTTTTCTGACTTAATCTCTCAGAATTCATTGTTAATTCCATAGGTTCTTAAGGGTTTTCACTTGTGTAGTATATAGAGCCAGTCTGTAAATGCATCTGTCTATGAGGACCCTGTAAATGTAACGCCGAGTCTGTTTTGAATACATGCCTCTGAAGATATTGTGTTCTCCGTAGGACACATATTCCTCAGATCTATAAAGTACTGGGTTTGGCTCTGTGTTTTCCTGTCTGTTGTGTAAATAAATCTTTAATAGAAGAGGTTTGAGTCTTTGCTGAATGTCGCTCTTGAAAGCAGGCGGACTATTTGGTCAACAATGAACTCCAGAGAGCTCAGACATTTGGATATTATATTTACTTATTCCTGAAATATGTCTCAACTGTTTGTAAGCCTTTATTTTACTGAGCCATATTCACTTTTCACTATTGTGCTAATAAGCTTCTGCAGAGTTTATATAAAATAAATGGGCAGTAGTGAAAGGAGTTACTTTACTATTATAGTAAAAAAATATACAATCATTTAGAAAAAAACTAAAACAATTACAGCTGTTCAAGGGACGTTGCTGAATGTGGAATTAAGAGTGGAGTAAGAGATTTAGGCTAAATAAAACACAAATATTGAATGTAACATTTAAATTCAGTTAACATAATAGCCAGTTTTGTTCAATTTTAAGTAGATAGTAGATACGTTAAATAATATCCGTTGCAATTTTCAAAATAAGTGCTTTTCTGATTTTGTCTCGTATTACTAAATGTTCATTAATCGAGCGAATTGACTCTCACGTGAAGGAGACGTTTAGATTTTCCCGGAGCTGACGTCACTGTAAACGCTCCTTTTTTATTGGCTTAGCACACGGACACGCAGCGTTCCCAGGACAACGAAACCCCAAACAACCGTGGAAACCCCGGCGAAACCTCAGGTTAACAACGGCTAATGAATCACCCACGAAGACTGGCATCGAACCTTCTTTGAAGTAAATTAATCCAAAGTTGTTTTACGCATTAGAGAGTTAAGAGGAGTTATAAATCGAGGAGGCGGGAATCGACGAAACGCGCCGCAGACATGGTCAGTTAACTAACCATGGAGTTAACGTTAGCTCCACTGCTACAAACAAACCAGATCAGTCACTGCTCATCAGCCCATTCAGTGTGTTCCTATATGTGTCCTGTATGTGTTTCATTGGGACAGAGTCGTGACTGGGCGCACAGCCAGCGGCAGATGCTGATGAACCAGGAGCGGCAGAACCAGGAGCAGCTCCGGCAGCAGGAGGCCAAGCGCGTGGACAGAGCGCGGCAGATGGAGGCCGGTGTGCGGGACGAGGGCTGCTTTGAGAGGAGGAGGTACCAGCGACAGGTGCAGGAGGAACTCAAGGAGGAGCAAACGAAGAGCGCTATGCTGAAGGTATATGTTGCTTTCTATTGTGCAGGTTGTGTTTGACAAGTTGCCAATTCGCTCTGATGTCATTAGATTATTTAATGTCATTATGCAACACTGGGTGGCACAACGAAATGCAGTTGTAGCCCTTTTGCTACACAAGAAAAACATGACAAAACAATACAAAAACAGTAGTGCATAACTGTAGCTCTTTTTTTAGAGGTGTATAAGGAGGAATGTAAACAGCAGGCACAAAACAATTATCTGTGCAGATAATATGGCATGCATCTTAATATTAACAAAATAACATTAAGGAAACCGTGTCCATCCACTTAGACTATGTTAACTGGTGACAATGTATTTTACTGTAGACTAGAGCTGAACTGTCCTCTTCTTACTGCTGAAAAACAGATGAAGATGTTCAACCTTATTATACGGGTAACATGGAGGAGTTGTGAGGAAGCTGTTTTAATGAACAACACTCCAAATTTAGCAATAGTTGGTTCATTTCTGTTTTATTGGTAATCACGATTAAAACAGGTCAAATCCAAGCCCATTGGTGGTGTGAGATCCAACCTTTGATAAACACTGCTTTATACAACACTACGCTGTCTCATCAATGTATAAACTGTAACTTACCTAAACTCAGATGCAGATCATCATAATTAAACTGTCACTTGCAGGCGGAGGAGGAGAGAATAAACAGAGAAAAGCAACTCGAGCAAGAGAAGAGAATGGCTAAGGAGCTGGCCCGCATCAACTGTGAGACACAAAGAGACGAGAAAATGAGACAGCGTGTTAAAGAGAACAGGTATGCACACTTACTCATTGCCTGGACTTACTTTATATTCTGGGGCAATATACAAATGCAACACTTCTTGCTTTAATGTCATCTTTTTTCTGCTTTGGTCTCTTCTTTATTTATGCAACTATAACTATTTAAATACCTTTCAGCTTGGAGCTTCGAGAACTTGAGTCTAAGCTGAAATCTGCATATTTGAATAAGGAAAGAGCTGCACAGATTGCTGAGCAGGAAGCTATGAGGGTTAAGACAATGGTGAGCACCGTCCTCATTGATTTCAGTCATTTCACAAAAACAAGTCTGAACCGCTGGTTGTGAAAGATGGATTCTTCCTTTAAATACCTCTAGATGCTTTTCTTTGCACAATGGCCACCGGGCAGAGATCCAGTGTTATTATTCCAACATTCTAAAGAACATTCAATACAGGCTAGATACTGTGTACGTTCTCTTTCTGACATTAGCGTGAGGAGGCAGACTTAGCCCGCAAGATGAAGGGCGAACATGAGCGAGCAGACGCTGAGCAGCAGAAAGTGGAGCAGAAACGCCACGAGGAGCTGGTGCAGTGTCAGAGAGAGCTGGAGCAGCAGCTCGTGGAGAAGGAGCGCAAGAGACAAGAGGCATACGAGGAGTTCCTCAAAGAGAAGCTCCTGGTTGATGAGATTGTCAGGAAGATTTACGAAGAGGATCAGATGTGAGTCCTTCATTACTAATTCTTACAGTCTTTAGGACGAATGCACAATGCATACAAGTATTTTTGTTTTTGCTAAACACAGCAGTCAAGAGATAACATTTGTATGCATTTCAAATAAAGCTTCTACTAGCATCCGTTTCTTCCAGAGCAACCGGTAAGGCCGTGGTAGTATGATTGATTTATTTAAAAAGATAATGTTGTTTTCTGAAGGGAGAGACAGCTGAAACTGGAGAAGGTCAGAGCCACTCAGCAACACATTGAAGAGTTCAAGAAACAGCAGGCCGAGTGGAGACGCATGGAGCAAGAAAGGATGGAGGCCGAGAACAAGCGCATCATGGAGTTTGTGATTCATCGGGAGCACATGGAGGAGAGCAATATGGCCAAGATCAGAGAGAGAGAAAAGGGAAAGGAGCATCTTCATAAAATAGTTAAGACAACTTTTTTTAAATGTATTCCCGTACTTTTATCTTTTCATTCATTGACACATGCCTGTATTTACCACGAACAATCTTTCCTCTCTGTTCTCCTCTAGCTTTCTGACCAGATGGAAGAGGAGAGGCAGCAGCGTGAAGAGACGGAGCGAGTTCGTGAGGAACTTTATTTTGAAGAACAGGAAGAGGCTAACAGGCAGAGAGACATTGTAAGAATCATTACGTCACTGTTTCACTATTTAAACATCCATACTAAGCAATTCTGACTATAATAAGGTAACAGTTGAGACAAAGTAATAACAAGTATATTTATTTATATACTGGATATTAAGAGTCCAAGTAATTTAGAAAGTTATTATCAATTCATTTGTCAATCTTTTTTTAAATTTATTAATCATGTGGTATATAGAATATTGTAAAACAATGAAGAATAACCATTATGAGACAAGAGACATACCCAGAGTCCTGTGTGCTCCTGAATGATCTTAATGTTTCTCTAAACATTCATCGAACAGGAAGAGATGGAGAAGAAAATCAGACAGAGGCTTATGATGCAGCAGAGCTGCCAGCAGCAGATGGTTTTCAAAGAGATGCGAAGGCAGGCCGAGAAAGAGGAAGACGAGGCCTTCAGGAAAATGATGATGGCCAAGTTTGCAGAAGACGATCGCTTGGAGCAGATGAATGCCCAGAAACGACGCATGAAGCAACTGGAGCACAAACGCGAGGTGGAGAAATTGTTAGAGGACAGAAGACGGCAGCATGAGGCTGACATGGTACGAAACCACGCTCGCTGTTTGCATAATCACATCAAGAATGGGGTGGTGCTGGTCTACATTTACTGTCAGGGGTCATGCTGCTAGTATTTCATCATGGAAGGCAACAGGTAGCAGCAACCAAGTTTTATCATGGTGACATTTGATGACATTAAAATGTATTAATGAGAGTAGCCCAACAGGACACACATCCCAACGTCTAGTAGCATGGCTGAATACTGAAAGATGTATTTAAGGAACATAAGTGAAACACAACCTACACTCCAGTATATCATCTTTGATTGTAATGTCAGTTGCTTGAGTTGAATGACTTGCTTTGATAATAACATTGATCTCTCTCTTCAAGGAACTGGAGGCTAAAGAAAGAGCAATGGAGCAGGAGAGGGAGGCGCTGCGTCGGCAGATAATTGAAGAGGAGAGGCAGCGACTTCTTAAACGCCACGCAACAAAACTCCTTGGCTACCTACCAAAGGTATGGTGCCGTGTATGGATCATAAATAATGTCACACAGGTGCATATCTCCTGTAGGTCGAACAAGTGCATGATCGTGAGTGTATCCATTTTCAGGGCTTACTCCGTGAAGATGACCTGGAGCACTTTGACGAAGACTTCAGGAAAAACTTCAAAACACGTCAGGCAGATATCTTGTCTGAGGACGGCTGGGATAGCGATGAGTAAATTGCATACGATGCCACTAGATGGCAGTTTAAGGTTACAGTGAACTAAATAGCAATTTTTTTGTGACCATTTCTCAGCATTCATGATAGCGCTTGTGTAGCATTCAGTAACAACACTGTTATTAATTGACATGTTTTTATTTGGATTGTGCTGACAGGATCTGAATAAAAATCATTCCAGAAAAGATCTGAGGCCGTCTGGTGGCTAAATGTGACAATAATTAGGAGACAAATCTCTAAATCTAAATTATTTTGAACCCAAAGTCTTCTATTTATCTGAACCTCTCCGTGTCTATGACTTCCCCCAGTCTAGAGCTTTCATGAACTCGTCTTCTGTGAACGACAGCAGCTTGGCAGCTTCAAAATGCATCTGCACAAAAATAAAAGTCAGTCATTGATTAAGCTCTGAACAGGGTGTGTGAGACAGGGTGTGTATGAACAGGGTGTGTGAGACAGAGACACGTACCTTTTGTCTTTTGAGAATGTCAATCAGCTTGAGCTGCTTCTTGAAACCCACGATGAGTTCTGCTTTCTGCTTTTTTAGCATTTTGTTTTCAGCAAGTAGATTTTCTTTACTCTGATGCTCCTCGCTTATCTTGTCCTTATTCAAAATGATTTAAAAGACTGGAATTAGTAGAAGTTAAACACATCTTAGCTTTTGGGCAACCTGAGGACTCATTTGCAAACAATTAAAAACATGTTGAAATCCAGTTGAAGCCGGTATTTTATGTAAATCCAAAGGGCTAAATGAACTTTCCTCTTTCCATCTTCAAACATCATATTCCATGTGTCCCTCAGATATTTTAAAGTCCATTATGCAGCGTAACATTCAACGGCCATACATGAAAGCCTCCTGATCTCTCTGCATGCTTCAGTTTTATTATTTAGGTCAGTGGACTCTGCAGTTTATTACTGTGGGACGTTATGGAGCTCCTGTTTCAACATCTCTGTGATCTGGAACCTTTATCTGCTAAAAGGATAAATTATCGTTTCACCTTAAAGATTGGTAGCACTTTACGTTACTTCGCAAATACTTTTTTGATCCTAAAACTATAATAATAAGACATTCATAATCACAAGGCTTTAGAATGATATTAAATGAACCCTGTTACACAACACATGTTGCTGCTACGCCCTCTACAAGTGGAATACATTTGTTATATTCAACTAAAGATTTGATTCTTTGTGATTGTTATAAATATGTTATTATTTATTTGAAGTATTACATGTTTGATTTATGTTACTCTGTATCATTTGAAATGATTTTAAATGCACACTGGATTGTACACTGTTTAGAAAGAAGTTCATCTTAGAAAGAACACCGTAGTTAGCAACAGTTCAACAGTATTCTTTTATACATGACAATCTGTAGCTTGTAATAAAAGAACATTTGAATAATTAGATCATGTGTTTATCAGCACTGTAATTTTCAAACCGTGTTCATCTGTTTCATCTTGTTGAGTTGAGTCTTCAGCCTCTCCACCTCCTCCAAAGCTCTGTTCAGACGAACCTCCACAGTGCTGTGGATGCCCGCTGCTTGTTTGTGGGATCTATTCAGATTGTCTATTTCCTGCACAGAGCAAAGCCAGTTCACATGAGCAATGGAAGATGGTCTAACACTGTCAGCATTGACATGCTACAGACCTTGTGTAATGCAGACACTTGCAGTTGAAGACCGTCACATTTTTTGTCGGACTCCTCTGCTAAAGCTCTGTGCTTTTCAATCTGTGTCTGCTGGATGTTTGCTGTTTTCTGCAGTCTGGCTCGTTCCTCCTCCAGCTCCTTCATTTTTGCACTAAGTTTAGCATTTTCATCATCCTGCAACGACAGACACATAATGTTATGAATAAACAATGTGAAGTCCTCTATGTTCTTCCTTCACTAGACGGCTCACGGCTGTTCAACTGAAGCTCTGTCCCCCTCTGCTGACAGGGCAATAACAGCTCCAACTGAATCATTGTCTATCAACTACCTACCTTCTTATAATATTCACTTGAGAGTTGATCCAGTTCCTCTTGCATGATCCGTAGTTTTGCCTTCAGAAATCGTATTTGAGCGTCTGAAACGCCTTATTAAAAACAACAGAGCGACACAGTAAGACTTATGAACCCACGAAAAATACATTAAGAAGTATCGCATGCTATTACTGACAAACTGTATTATTTAATGTCAAAGCTCCAATCTAGATTTAATTTAGGAATTCTTAAGTGGCAAGATTTCCTCATGGAAAATCATTTCTTAGTAAATTTCGGATCCCACATTAACCAACATACAGGTCCTCTTGGTTAGAAACTGTAATGAATAATGTGAATGTAATATTTATTGTTATAAAACACATTCAGACTCTGAAGAACGGCGAACTGTACCGGACCTGTGAAGTTTTTGGATAATTCTAAGACAAAATGACATGCGATTAATGAATAAAACTTGGGTTTACTTTTCACAAAGTGACATAAACATTACCTGATCCTACATTGTCTCCAGCGTTAGCCTCGTCATCCACAACATTGTCATGAATCGCGCTGTCGTTCATCTTCTCCTCCATGCTCCGTATCGTCTTTGCCACGAAAAAATCCTCCGAGTCTTCTGCAGCTGCTAAATCAGCCACATGAGATATCTTTGGGGTTCTGAAATCAAGCGAAAATACATGACCTGCAGTGTTATTTTCTCATAAATAACACTGGTCGACAACGACTCTAAAAATGATTTACACTCAAACTCACACTGTGTTACAGTGAGGCTCTTTTCTTTGTTTTGTGACTTTTTTTTTGGTCACCACCTAAGAGGGGGGATGGCAGTTGGAAACAGCATAATGACATGTAGGCCGAATGCAATAACAGACTATACAGAAATACAAACTTTATAATCTGAACTGACACCTTCATATTAGGCTCCCGCATAGTGCACTGTTGAGGCTTCATCTTCCTGTAGGTGAATAGATAGACAGAGAGACATGTTGGGAGATAGATACATAAGAAAGAATGAATTATATTTATGATATTTGTCGATTAAGTCCGTTGTCTTACACTGCTTTAATGAGCAATGAATATTTGAATGGTCTGTGTGGAGGCTGGAATAAATGTAGACTTTTGAAAATGAACCACTGAAAAGTCAACAGCCATTCTGGTGACATGCCCAAGCCTCCAAAGATGTGAGCCTCGGATACGTATTACCTTGACTCCTCTTCATCCTCAATGTCCGTGAACAGGAGGGTGGAAAAGGGTTTTGACAGAACTTCACTCTGTTCTCTCTAAAATCAGATAAACACCAAGAGCTAGATGCACTTTTTAAAGCAAGTCTTTACTCATCAAAATGTCAACATGTGGATAATAACTTACCATAAGTTGGTCTGCCTGTCTTACTAGATCTGCTGTTTTGGCTTCCAGCTCTGCATTTAAGAGTCTGAAGGAAATAAAACGGAGAATGATATTATTAAGGGTCTGTCTTTAACATATACAAGGATTTCCAGAGCTACAGGACTGCAAGAAATACAACACATCCACCATGTTTGCAATAATATTTATACCAAGATTTAGTGCCTTATGCCATCTTTAATAGATAGGAAATACAGTTTAGATTTTTGGCACATTAACTCTCTTACTTGTGGTCTTAAAACGTTACGTATTGTTTTTAAATGTACGTTTACACGTGATGAATTTCTCTCTCGGATACTTTGATGACAGAATGAAGTGACGCTGATGGAGTCAAATAGTTTAACCAGTGTATAAGAAGAAGTGTGCCTTATTCAATGTTTTTCAAAATATGTGGATCACTGCTTCTTGAAAACGTGAGAGAAATATACATGTATGTCCATTGGAACAGGTGCTCTTACTTGTATTGTTCTTCCTTTGCAAAAAGGTCATCTGTGTGCTTCTTTGTTGGACCAGAGGCAGATTTAACCTGCGGTCTCACTTCAACCATCTTGGACCTCACAGCCTTACTGCTAGAGGACGGACGTTTCTTGGGATAAACAAGACAAAGCAGCAGACTTTATAACATTAATTCACTCAGGAGACATTTCACATTTAAGGGATGTTTGTTTATGTTGTGTGTTTATGTTAGAAACAAATATCTGATATTTTATAATCAGATTTTTAAACTCTCAAATATTGATGTTGCTATTTGCCTTGAAGACACAGTATCAGTCAGACTGAAAGTATGCCTCCTACCCCTGCTCTCACACTTTTCAGGTCAGTGACCACAGGTCTTCCTGATGAACTGAAAGGCATATACACCCTCTATAAAGGCACTTCATAGAAAGTGGCACCATATTGGGATATGTTTGTACATCCAGGTTGAAGTGATTTAGTGGTTAGAGGATGTGACTTATGCTAGTGCACTTTCTATGCATATAGGCACAGCATGTTAAATTCAAAAGGTAAAACAAGCACAACAGTTTGGCTCTTTGCATTAAATGTTTTACATATTGGGGGAAATTGAATTAAGGCAATGTGTGACTGTGACTAATGTTTGGGGACAAAATCCCAACTGCATGTGATTGGCTTGGTGTCCAATCTATTTTTTTCAGCAACACACTCTTCAGCATTCCCATAGCTTGAGATATTCATAACGCTACTTATTTTGTTTTCCTCTATCTCAACAGTAGTTTCTGTAGTATTTTGGAAGAGACAGAAGTAATTAGAGGTAGTGGAAGTAGCGTGACGAGTTAACGTTAGCTTGTGTTAATGTTTGTTGACAAAGGTCAGTGACTTCACCGGTTGGAAACAAATAATTCAACTTTTGCTGGTGGTATACAGACATTTTAGTTTGAAACAATAAGGTTACAAACCTGCGAAACGACGGACTGAGACGGACGGACGTTTTTATCAAACCTTCTTTCAGCCATTGTGGAAGCAGAGAGACGACGCGGCTGAGGTTGCATAGCAACTACTCTTCAGTTCACGCACAGTACGGTAGCCTCCTACGGACAGTTAAGGGCGAACTTTCAACAAAAGTGTTAGGCTACAAATCATTATTTTTTCCAAAATATATTGATTTCAAATAATTAAATAATAATGAATAGTTTGAATCACACAATGAATTGGAATTACTTAGTTATAACTAGATGTAGACTAATTTAACACAAACACATGTCTGTTATTTCCTGAAATACTGGCTTTGTGGCAGTGATACTTGCCCAATAAACCAGCCTACTTAAAGTAGTAATCTAGGTATTTAGCAAATGTGTCAATAAAGTTGCGTGACTCAGTCAGAGTGTGTGTGTCATAAGCCTGATCAAATAGAAACGGTAGAGTTTGCTTTTGACTGTAGACACAGATCTGACTGCATGGTCTCATGTGATCAGGCCCCAGGGCAAAAATGGGCTGCTGTGCCCCTATTAACCCGCTACTCTTCCTAGTCTCATTGTAGCCATAGTATCTTTGTAGTGGAAGTTGAAATGGCCCCCGGTTTTTTTGTGTGGTAATTTGAGGTGCGGTGTGGCCATATAAAACACACAAAAATGTCAGAACATGCACCTTGTAAATATAATATCAGCTGAAATAATAACGTTACATTCTGCCTCTCTGTCTTTTCTTCCAGTCACATTCCCACTTCCTCAAACACACTCATTGCCATTCTCTACCTGTCCACCAGATGCTCTCTGACTTTTTCTCCAGTCCCAGTCACCTGATCTTCCCCTCCCACCTGCCCACCTGTTTCCTCTTTCCCTTGTCAGGCCTGCATTTAACCAGCCCTTTTCACTCACTCCCTTCCAGATCGACAACACCGCTTTGTTGCTTCTTGCTTTTTTGCATCTGATGTCCTACTGTTTCCTGCCTGTCTACCTGCAGGCACCTCTCCCTGCCCCATTCCTGGAATCATCTGGATTCTACACAATCTCTTTTTGGACTTGCCAATAGGTATAGTATATATGTTTACCTTTGCGATAAATCCATAAACTGTTCCTGTCTGTGTGGTAGTCTGCATTTGGGTCCTCTTCCTCGCTGCCTCGTCCTCAGCCTTTTGTCAAGGAGGTCACAAGCCAAAAAGGTTTGGAACCACTGGTATAATATTTGATAATGCATTGCATTCTATAAACTTAGATTATGTAAAATAAAATTACATGAAAGGTAACTGGTATCTGCAATACATAAAGTGTAGTAGAAATATGAAGTAGTATGGACATATTCAAGTATGGTAAAAGTAGCTCAAAGTTGTACTTAAGTACTGTACTTAAAATGTAGGCTACTTAGTTACTTTCTACGACTGGTAGTTGTCAGATAATAAAGCCTGTAGTATATCAGTGGATGTGTTCTTTAGTGGTGCATATTCTCGAGTAAAGGTACAGTTTACCAAATGACTACAAACCATCGTCAAACTGTCAAGATGTTGGTAATCCACATACAAATGCATATAATAATAATATTTATTAATAATAATTAATATGAATTATTGATTGATAATAATCTTTTCATATTTATTTTATACGCAATAATAATATCCATATTCAAACCGATTTAAACTGACATTTATAGCAATGTGCTCAGTAACGTCTCCAGCTTACATGTTTTTAATGCTGTGGGTCTTAATGCGCATGCGTTCGCCCAACAGCTACTACTCACCATGCACATGCAGAGACATCCCATAACGTGAGGGGTACTGCAGGGCAGAGCACACCGGAGGGACTGGCTAGTTGCCTTGCAGCTGTCCGTTTACTATTTACACCTGCCTGTATTTATATCCATGCATCACGTCGCGTTTGCCAACGACACGTAGTTTTGTTGCACAGCGTCTTTAATTCAGCAAGTGTTGGGACTCGCGATGTCGGAGGACTGGGTGGCAACAACAACAACAGGGCGCGCTGCTGTCCCGTTAGCATCGTGACGACCTCCGGTCCATGTTGTTTAAACCGAGTACACCCGTCCACGCCTCCCGCCCAGTCCAGTCCAGTCCAGACTCGTGCCGTGGCCCACCGTGATGGCCGAGGAGGACCCCCAGCAGCAGGCGGACCGCGGGGCGAGGAGTCTGCCCGGCCTGCTCACTGGGCTGCAGGGCGCTGAGGCCAGTGCTCTGCAGCTGAGGATCAAGAACTCCATCTGGTGAGGAGGTGTTCACATACTACCACTGTGCATATACGATGATGCTTCAAGGGGAAATAACTAACAGATATCACATTTAAACTCAGACTTTTCATTGTTCTTGGTCAGAGAGTCAGCACCCAGAGGTGAAAGTAGTAAGTAAGAGCAGTGATACCACAATGTAATAATACTTAGTTACAAGTAGTCGACTCACGTGAAAGTACACAAGTATTATCAGCAAAGTGTACAAGGATCAAATGTAAACAGTACTTGTTGAGCAGAACCCCCTTGTGAGAACTAAATTATTATATATTATACGTCACTGAATTACTGATGCAATAATATGTAAGGAGCATACTGTTATAGTTGCTCAAGTGGGAGCCAAGTTTACCTACACTATATACTTTTGTTAATCAACAGCAATGCATTATATTGTATAGGCTGAGTATATGTTTTACAAGTAAAATGTGAATCTGTAAAGTAACTGTCAAATGAATGTAGGGGAGTAAAAGGCACAACAATTCCCTCTAAAATGAAGGGAGAGAATTATAAAATGGCAGAAAAGTGAAATACTAAGTGCAGCACTTGAGCCAAATTCCACCACTCCGTTTAGAACTGTGTGTAAAAGAAGCAGAACAACATAATAAACATGTTTTATTACAAACAAACTACAAGTCTTGCATACATTTCATCAAAAGTACCGAAACTCATTATTAGGCACAGTGGTTTCTATCAGCGTCATTTTATTGCACTGTATATTATTATTATATAGATTATTATTGCTGAAATTAGACTTTTTAGTACTGATGAAGCTGATTTGAACTTTTTTCATAGTGTCAAGTAGTTCAATCAATAGCAATCATATGATCAATAACAGTATCTCATATTATATTCACAGATTATACATTGTGTATGTAAAATATTAATCTGTAAAGAACAGTACAATGTGGAGGTACTTGTACTTAAATTCTTTACTGCTACTCCACCTCGCCTTTTTACTCTGTATTGTTTTTACAGCTATAGTCACCAGTTATTCTGTAAATATATATGTTACATATATAACATAGCTTGTACAATATGATGATGCATTGCTAAATATCAAACAATCCAACAATACATATAGTAGTCGAAATTAGCTCCACCTTGAACAGCAACAACATTAAAATGCTGCACTTTAAAGCTACAATTTTTAACTTGGTAAATGTTAATGTTTGATGTTTCTTGAATAAAGTACTTAGTTTATGTATTACTCTTTGAGTAAGTTAACCCATTTCTGAAGAGCAGAAGTAATTAGTTACATTACTTTCCATTACCCAGTCCAGCTCAGTCAAAGCTCCTTCAAATAACTCAGAAGATGCTTCAAGTTTGTGACCTGGCCGCCATGTTTCAATTAGTCGAGCCAAAACCAAGCACCGCCCACCGAACAGAGCAAACGTTCTAATTTTACAGCTGAACAGTACCCTAAAATATGTAAACATTTAATGTGCGAAATAGGCAATTTTGGAACAGAATATTGATTCATATTTGATCAGCATTGACTAGTTTGACAGTTTGATCAGAGTTCACGAGCAGTGATTGACAGCTGCGCTAGAGACTCCTCGGCTCTGATTGGTTGTTTTTGAGTGGAAACTTTCAAATGTAGCACTAAAAGGGGGCAGAGCTTATGTGTCTCATGTACTTTCAGGATAAAGTGACAGTTTGAGCATATATGACAACGTTATTTTCATTAAAGTTACTAACTGTAGCTTTAATGCACCTGTAATAGTAATTAATGTTATAGTACATGATAGTATAAATATGACAGGGTGATTCTGCTTGTATAGTTCTGTGTACTTTCACTCATGGAACTTGTAATAAGAGTTTTGCTACTTTTACTTAAGTAAAGGCAACATGGCGCTAGTTCATCCCTTCCTTCACCTCACACCTGCCTCCTCATCTTTTGCTAGATTATTGATTGGTTGAAGGCGTTGTCACAATAATAGTCATCTACATTCAAGTTCCCTCTATTTCCATCATCAAAACACGCCCGACATGCCGAAACAAACAGCTCCAGTATGCAGCTCCCGTAACAGCTGTGCTAAACCCTTGAAATAAAAATATAATGGCATGTTTGTCACCAAGATCTGTTTTTGAAAACTGCTCACATCTACCAGACATGGCCACGATATTATCCAAATTATTCTCATACCAGTTTATTTAAAAGAGCTCACTGAACTTATATGTCTTTGCCTGGTTTTAGGCTACAAATAACTATTTCCAAAAAATTTCACAGACAGAAGCACATGACTACAAGTGACCTGGGATACTCTTACCAGTTTTAAATAATCAGGACGGACACTTATCTACTCAAATAACAAAGTCAAACCCACTGAATCAAAGCCTCATGGAAAAGTGAAATGTATTAAAACTAAATGAATTTAAGGATTGCTTAAAGCTGCCAGTCAGTTGAACAGCCTGCAAATAATAATAATATTACAGCAGTTGTTCTAATTCTAATACATCTGTCGGCTAGAATGTTGTATTAATGAATCGAATGATGTTTTATGGTTAAGATATGTCCCATTAGAAAAAATACTTAATTTTGTTAACAACTGATAGTGCATATTGTCTATGGTTGTTGTGTTTTAAGGCTGTGTTCTGACTGGAAGTAGCCTTTTATTTCTGAATGTGAATGAACTCAAGTATCATTTAAATGTCAAACAGTCACAAAATGTCAAAAGGCTGAACTACCAGAAAGCACGACAGTTCAGAGGTGAAACGTCTGCAGGAAAACCTCAGCAGAAACACGCCACTATGCTAACATAATGGGGTATTGGATATTTGTCCTGCTCACTAAATCGTTAACCTTTAAGAGGATTAGAGCATAAATATTGACGTTGACTTGAGCGGTTCATTGTAGAGTGAGACTGTCTTAGTCGGGGCCAGCAAGTTCATCTGCAACTATACCGTCACTGTGTCTTGATTAACAATGATAGTCTATCGTCAATTGCTACTGTTCCTGCTGGTTTTCAGCAAATCCACCTAATCAGAGACTGAATTACACCTGAATATTAAACACAGTATGATTTAAAGTTCAATCAGTTCTTCCATTGATTCAGTGCCTCGGGTGTCATTTGGGATCTCTGCCAAATCTGCCTAACAAACAGCTTAATGACGGCCTTTCAGCACTGGGAAATCCTTGGCTCCCTAGTAACAGTGAATTAAAGTCAACTGTTCTTGTTGTGTCCTATAGCATTTGATTCTGACCTGCCCGATGTCAACGAGTAAGAGTCTTTAAATGTGACATGCCTTCTGTGTCTTAGTCAACAACAACCTGACCTGTCTGCAGATTAGGAATTAGGCCTGGAGAAGTTGTATTCATGTATCTTAGTTTGACCCTGAGTTATTTCTCATTGGTTGAAATCTATCTTCTAATGCTTGTTTTTGCATGAATAAGTTCTCTTGCATAGGGCCGTGTAGTTTATGTCGTTAACTTGCTCTGTATCTTTTGTCTGACCAGTATGGTCAGTATGGATAGGCTCCTTTTATTGTAGTATATACTGTAAAATACACATTAGTAAAGGTTAAAAGTCCTTTTTTTTTTTTTATTCAAGTCTTCCTTCAAGATATAAGATATTCGTACGGTAGATTTCACAGTGACTGCACATGAAGAACTGTGTTCTTCTGTCAGAGACAATGTTACCACAGTGGCCGCCTCTCTCTCTCTCTCTTTTTACGTATGACAACATGTGTTCCTGGTGGTGGGATACATGATCTGAGAGATGCTGGAGGGAGGGTTGTCTCATGCCAAACATTCCTCTGCTTTATAAATAAATACACTTTAGACACAAGCGTTCATGTTACATAAGCTTGATACTAATTTGTACTTTGTCTCTGTTTTGCAGCAAATCGGTTCAATCTAAAGTGGAAAACATTCTGGTGAGTGTCCTTGATGTGTTTTAACCTACAAATTACAGTTTAAATTAAACCTTTTTATTCAGCTGGTAAAATGTTTTTTCGAATGTATTTTTGGTTCTAGCATGTCGGGCTGAAATACTTTTTATTCCTGATGGGTTTATTTCCTTTGCGGCAAATTTTTTCAACAAACAACAAATCTGTCTGTACAATAGGAAAATGTTGTACAGAAGATTTTATTACACACTTATATTGTTTCTTGGGATACCAGAAATTGGTTAGAACGTTAACAATATGTCCTGGGAGTGATGCTAAAAGAACATTCATGGGATCGTTAAAATGTAAAACTTAATGCAGCTAATTTAACTTTGACCTGAAGGTGGCTCTAGTTCCAAAAACAGTAAAGGTCAAGCTCTGGGAAGGATGACTGAGCTCTAGGACTCCAACTAACGATTATTGGTATTATAGACTTAATCTGCCGATTTGTTTCTTCATTAATCGATAAATCCTTACGTCCATAAAACAGTAAAAAGCAGTTAAAAACAGCCATCACAGTTCCCTAGACGCCCAAAGTGATCTCCTTTAATTGCTTGTTTCATCCACTCAACTGTTCAGAACAAAAAAATATTTCACTTGTAATCATATATGTAAAACAGACAGCAAATCCTCATATTTGAGAAGAACCTGCATTATATTTGGCATTTTTTCTTGAAAATGACTGAAACATTTGAAAATCTTCTTGTGTATATGTTGAAGTAAACCGGAACCATTGGAATACCACTGGGCACCACGAATATCTATAACTCAATATCTGCAACTGAATTTCGGTGACTGAATATCTATTACCTAACATTAAAAACTGAATATCCGGCCAACTGTTGTTGAAAATCCGGCTCAAGCAGCTCCCGCTGTTTGTGGGGCAAAAAATAAATAAGTGATGCTGTGCTGTAGATATTTACGGTGTATTCAGTTATCATGTTTTGATGTCCATCCTTTGTACATACATTGTGACGAAGGCCGTGGTGACTTTACTGTAGTGGTTTTGTGTGATGCTCTGGAGTAGGTTTCATAACCTGCTATATAGAGAAGAAGTCGAGTACCAACAAGAGCGGGCTAATATTGTACTTTACTGTATGCTGAAGTGGTGTCCAGTGTTGTACATGCCAGCACAGTTGCTATTCAACAACAATATAATCGTTTTTTTAATAATGTGCAGCTCCCTGGAGAGTGTGACAGTCACCGTTAACGCCTCATGGGAGCTGTAGCCTACATGTTGAATAAATATAAATAATTGTTATTTATTTGTTAAAGTCATGATGAACCAACGTTTTATCGAGCAGTTGTAGATACCATTTAACTTATCAGAATATCCCAGTGTCATGTTTCAGCTTTTAGTAAAAGAAACCCTCAATGCAAAAAAAATCATTGTGGAGCCAAGGCTAGTAAAAGATGGCCAGCTTTGGGTGTCCTTATGTAATACTCTAAATATAATGTTTGATATCATGTAGTTGTTAATACAGACTGGTTGATCTACCCTCATCCCTGTCAAAAATGTCTTTTGACCTTGTGTAAACCTGTGTTGTCATCCTCCTCTCTTCCTCCTGATCTCTCCTTGCTCTCACCTTAGATGACAAACCTACAGCATCGTGTGTCATCTTGTGTCAGGTTCACAGTGTACAAAGCTGCAGCCATTTAAGCTGTATGTGTGTGTCTCAGCTGTACAGCTGTAAGAATGCAGCATGTTAATGCCTCGTATCTCTACACTTCTAGGTTTAAAGTCAGGTTCAAACTTAACTAATGCTCCTCACTCCTAGCCCCGCTGCTTCACTGTGGGGATGGTTAATGATATGCCGTGTTTGGCTTACACCAAAAATGGGATTAAGTCTGACAGACAAAAAAAGCACCTTCCCAACAGTTGTATGCACCATCTCCGCCTGTGAAGCTTTTAAATACTCCACAGGTCTCTTGGTGTCCTTTCTCACTAGTTTCTCTTCAGGCAGATTTCAGTTATATTATACTCTTTCTATTTCTTAATGCTTGATTTAAAAGAGTCCTCCGCTAATTTAATACTACACTCCTATAACATCGTCTTTTTTTATTCCATTCAATCTTCTTCTTGTCAAAACCTGGCGCCTACTATACCCACAATGCAACACGACTGACACCAAGGGTCAGAGATTCAGGTGTGTTATGCTAGTAGTGGCTGAAGTAGCATCAAGCAGAGATGAGGAGAGAGCTACATATCCGTTAAACTCACTGCTTTCTAACTCCACACCTTTCCTTTTCCTCAGCACCAACTCACGCTCAATTTGACCAATTTTGCACTGCTCCTTCTGGAGCCATAAAAGGCTTAACACAACTTGTTTCACACATGAAGAGTTGCCAACTAGAGTTAGACATCCAGATACAGTATGTATCGTAATGCTTATGCAAACAACTATTTTATGTTTAAAATAAATTTAAATCACTTTGTAGAGATATTTTTTTCACTTTAACGTTAAAGAGTGTTTTTTGTTGAACAGTTTAAAACCATAAATCTACTTTAATTCAGTGTTTTGAAACAATAAAACATGAATATTTTCAAGGGAGGTGAACACTTTTCCAAGTATTTGTTACTGACATCATTCCCACATGGTTGGAGTATTGTTTGATGTTTGGTGTTGTCTGCTGCCAATTAAACCACCAGGATTTAAACTGCTCCTTCTTCTTCTGCCATCATGTTTTTTTTCCTTTGAAAAGCGCCGTTAGAAGTGTCTCAGACTGTTTGTAGCTCCAGACCATGCCAAGGATGTTTAGTTTGCACACATCTTAGATACCAAAGCTAACAGGTCAGCCCTGATGAGTCCTTGAATTCGATGATTCATTTTAGTTCGTGGAGGTTCGGCTGGTCTGCAGAGCAGCATCCAAGACCCCAACAAAAGATGAAAGGTGTTCCTCTGCTGTCTTGATTTACAAAACAAGATGTTTCCCACTGTATTCACTCAAGCTGATTTTATATTTTACACTGTTGAGCTGTGTCACTGAGAAGACACGACTTAACAGTCTACAGCAGGGGTCTCCAACTTTTTTTAACTGTGAGAGCTAATTAGACAAAATGTGAGCTACTCATAGCAACAAGTTGTACATGGCTAATAGCAGAGATAATTTACTTTTATGGTTTTTAAATAACATTCAGTCACCACAGTCATTGCCTCTATTTCAATCCCACCATGTGCGAAGGACTTCTTTTATTCCTCCTGAAAATTGAAATTGAAATGTTTTGCCTTTTATTGGCCTTGTTATATTCTGTGGTCATTGTCAAATCTGGTGCTTGCTAGTCTGCTAACGCCGCCTGAAGTCACAGCGTCAAATAGAAAGCAACGCAACTCATCTATTTATCAACTGATTGACAAATAATCATTTTGTGTCAGAAGGGGGGGGGGTGTCAGTGAATTTGATTGGATATAAATGTAAACAGTTAAAGTGACTTTGTGTTATCAAATTAATCGAAATATTCTTTCAACCTTTAGCGAGCCACTCAGAAACCGTAATGCTACAGTTAGCTTGACAGCTACTTGTTGGAGACCCCCGGTCAACAGCCTGTGGGCTAAATGTGTCACAATGACAAGGTTAACAGGTGTAGCAGGTGTAATGTTTACCATGGTCACCTTCTTATAGTTGGGCATGTTGGCAAGCTAACATTTGATTATTAGCACTAAACACAAAGTACCGTTGAGCAAAAGTCGGGGGCTCGCCACAGTTATTGCTCTTCATCTTGAGGGATTGATAAACTTGTGACCCAGTTTTAATTTTAATGCAGCCGATACTTGTTGTTGAGACTTCTTAACTCAAAACCACAGATGTGAACCTGCTGGTGGCGCTAAAGACAAAAGTCAGAGAATCAGCAAAATCATTCATCCTCTTGGGATCATGAATGTTTCTACAACATTTCTTGGCAATCCATCAAATAAAGGTTGACATATTTCAGTCTGGACCACAGTGGAGACTGAACCAACTATCAGCTCTGCAGGTGTAGCAGCACGACCTCCACTTTTAAATCCAAGGCAGGAAGCTACCTACATACTGATGAATAGGAAGGCCAAATATTAAAACTATATTCTTTTATTTTTACCCTTTTTTTTAAATTTCTACAGCAAGATGTGGAGAAGTTCTCAGACATTGAAAAACTCTACCTCTACCTTAAGTTGCCTTCTGGTCCAAGCAGTAGCATTGATAAAAGGTAAGAACACACCTGCTTTCTCACAGTATTTATAGAAAAATGTACAGTTGATGAAGTGGCAAACATTTCTGTTTGTTTTTGTCTTCAAAATGTTTAGTTTGTGAATGATATAGAATGGTAAAATAATAATGACACGCACAAACAAAGTTAGATCATGTTTGGTGAGGAGGATTTCTCAGGACTCTTAAGGTGACAGGGACTTGAGTGAGCCATGTGTTGTTCTTTTGCTTTGTCATTTGTCAGTCAACCAATGATCCACGTTTTTTCTCAGTGACCAGAGCGCCCTGTCATCAAGCCGCACTCAGCAGATGCATGCGTTTAACTGGATCCGCCATCATTTGGAGGAATACCCAGAGACGTCTCTTCCCAAACAGGAGGTCTATGATGAATACAAGTAGGTGAAAACAGAGCCCAAAGCAGATACACATAGACACATACAATATACAACTCACAGAGAATAAAGCTGATTTGTTTTACTTACCTATAGACTCCACTATGTATTTGAATATGTTTCATTGGTGTTCACCTCTTTAATAGATAACAGCTACTGCTGGTCGAGATTCTTTCTCGTCTAAATCACTGGCGGCTGAAGCAACAGTATAAATAGATGCAGCAGGCATGGGAATCACAGAGAGCACCATGTGTTGGTAATATTAGAATGGAAAGTCTGAGACAGCCATTGAAATGCTCTGACAGTGTTATGTAACTGTCTTTTTAACTCTACCAGATCAGAAATACAGTGGCCCCCAGAAATATTGGCGCCTTACGATAGACATGTGAAAAGGCTTTAAAGAGTGAGAGCGTTATGAGCTTCACTTTAAAACAAAAACATTTTGTTTTCTACAAAGAAACAATCACATTTGGCACTATATTTTTTTAAAGGTACTGCAAGTACTGAAGTCAAGAAAAAAATGTGTGAAAGAAACATTTGATTACCTCCCTTTATGTTCGATGGGAATGGGGATGATGCCCAATAAAAAAATGTAGATACGGACGTCACTTAGTTTAGTTCTCGTTTTACAAATTTGTCAAACTGTGAGTCACTTTTACAACTCTATTGTTGCAAAATTCTACACACCTAACTTTAGCAAAGTTTCCTATTTTCCTAAGAAAAAGACAAATATCTGACTTTTTAGTATGTTGGAATACCATTTTTTACTTCCTGAATCCGATTCCAACACCTGAACTTGCCGATATTGAGTACCGATCTGATACCAGTGCGCACAAAATGTGTTGCCGTTTGACTGATGTGATTTTACAGTGTAAAACATTTCCAAATTGCTGACATTTTGCTAGCTCTGGCTAATGTTACACTCTCCCGTAGAGCCTACCTGTTTGATATTATGCATGTGCAACTCTCAACAAACGTGAGAAGGAAGCAAGATGGCTCACTCGTGCAGATAACTGATTTCAGTCGGAGCGATTGTTTTTTTCTGGAGCTGATGATTAAAGTAGATAACGAATAAGCCGTCTCGCAAATCTGTTCCTGCGCTCAGCGCCGTCATTTGACGTGACGTAGTTGGATGTAAGGATGAACTCCAGGCTGCTGTTTCAGCTTGGACTTCAAGTCTCAGCCTCTGGGTAGCCGAAGGGCCGGCTCTAGCTGCCGCTCAAAAACTGAACTTCCTTGTTCTCTTCGCTTGTATTGCAAACTAGCTACATTACAACGGAGACAATGGCATCATCAAAATGTGAGTGCAGAGGACGTTATGGACGGATACAGTTTAGAGTATTTTGGCTTACTTGGATATTCAAGCGTATTTATTTGAGCCAGAGTATACTGTCGAAGAAATGCAGCAAAGAGAGACGGGGGCTGCATTAGCTTTGTAAGAGGTTGTGGCCGGCACATAAAAGGTGTAGATGGAATTTTCCCTGTGATTTCATTTGTTCTGTCTGTTCTGTCTTTCAGGAGCTTCTGTGACAATCTAAACTACCAACCACTGAGTGCTGCAGATTTTGGAAAAATGATGAAAAATGTCTTCCCGAACATGAAAGCGCGTCGACTTGGCATGAGAGGAAAATCAAAATATCCTTCAGTGGAATGGATTGTAACAGTTTGAGTCTGTCTCTGGTCACAGACCATCTGCTGTTGCAGTTCATAAGCTCTCTAAATATAGATGTGAAATGAAATAAAGTCCCCCTCTGCCTCTGAAGCAGGAGCATAATACAGAGGCCACCGTGATCTTAACCTTCACGACACAATTGTGATTTTTTTTTTCTCCTCTATTTTGCTGATGGCGTAAAAGTGCAAAACTTGATTTATGTTTATAGCCTTCAGTCATTCAGGTTAATGAATTATCTTGGTGTGAGAGTTTTATGGGTTGTGATGGCGAAATACTTTTGCCTGTTGAAGGGAGTTTGTTTTGAACTTGTATTAGCAATCTGCTAGTGTCTGAGAGATCAAGGATTTGTTTTCATTCATAGTTTGACAATAAGCACTAATTAAAGTAATCAGTAAAAGAACTGGTACAATATCAACGTATTAAACACATTTTCAATTAAAGTAGTTTTACTGCAGCAAAGTGGTTAAACATTTTGGAAACTCTTGAATATCCAATTTCAGGCTCAGAATATATTTCTTTCAAGATTTTCATTTTTATATCCAACGGGCCCTAGATATGAAAAAAATTCTAAAATCTTAATTCTACATTGATCTGTCAAATGAAAAACAGAGTTTGGGAAAATTAAATGGTCCAATTTTCTAACATTGATTTTTTTACAATGGAAAACTGATTACATTCCATGGAACGTGTACAATCTATATTACTGCAGACGTTGGAATCACATGTTTTTGATCTTAACACCAGCTTACATATTGCTACAGTGGACTGAGGAAGAGGCTCTTTGTTCACATGCCATCTTTACCCTCTCTGGATCTCCATAAAACAGGGGATGGGGTAAGCACATTTAGATCTTCCTTATTAATATTTTAAAATATCCTTAAATCTCTTTGACTCTATTTTTTTTCAATGTCCTGTCATGCAATGTATCATGTATACATGTAAAAACACTAATCGTTTGTGTGTAGCTCCAGTGTGATGTCGTAGAGTCACCGGGCCAGCTGAGCAGCATAAAGGAGGACGTACGATTTGCAGCCTGTGATCTGGTGTGTGAGTGGGCCCAAAAGGTGCTGAAACGCCAGTTTGATGCCGTGGAAGACTTGGCTCGCTTCCTAATCGACAGCCATTACATCAGCAACAAGTCTCTGGCAGCTCTCACCATTATCACCGGCACAGCAACAGGTCAGACGCTCTCTAAATCGGCTTCATGCCGCCTGTGTAAAAACAGGTCAACTGTGGCATCTTGAGGCGGCTGCCTGCTACTGCTCTTTTATGTCGGTAAAAAAAGTGTCTGCTTAGATATTTTTCATGAGGACAGCTGTGTTTTTTCAATTACCAGACTTACCTGACTTTTTCATCTTTACTGGAGATCTCTGGTCAAACACATACACATTACTCATTTGATATGTGGAAAAACTAAATATTCAATATTATAGAATCAACAAGGGCTCACACATGTTTGAACCAAATGCATTTGCACTTAAATCAGACTATATGACTGAATATACATACATGAATGTTCCTATCTAATGTCGCAGCTGGTTGTATTTTTGTAGTTATTAGTTTGAATTTGTTGGCGCTTGTTTGGCCCATTTTTTGCTTGCATTTTGTTTATCTTATATGTGTATAGTTTGATCCAGTTGTTGATATTATTAATGAATGTATGTTGTTATTTGATTTTGATTGTGTTGTATTGGGATCAGCCGGGTTTTTAATCTTAGCTTTTGGACCTTGCACTCATTATTGTATTAATGTTTTATTTGGACTTTTTTAAAGCGTGGACTCCTGGATGTTAAGTATTATAAACAATAAGTTAGGGTATTTTCCAATGAAGTGCCATGATCACAGCATATTGTCTTCACATATTATGATGATGAGGCTATTTACTTTTTACTATTAACAGTAGCATGATACATCTCTAACCTACCGCTGTTTCCTTTCTTTAGAGGTTAAGTCTTCACAGACGGTTTCAGCGTTTGTCCCCACTGCTGAGGCTCACTCCTTCCAGCCTCATGTGACGACCCTGTCCTCACCTTCTGTCGATGCAAAGCAGCAGCTCCAGAGGAAGATCCAGAGGAAACAACAAGAACAGAAGCTGCACTCTCCTTTACTCGGAGAGGGACAAACCAAGAGGGCAGATGACCGCGTGCCTTGTGCCAACCCAACCCCTCTGTCACCTCAGCCAACCATTGGCATCGTGGTCGCTGCTGTCCCGAGCCCCATCACGGTGAGAGAGCAGCACTCTCAGCAGCATGTAGCTTACACAGTTGTGTCCTGTCTTTTTATCACTGTAGAGTAAATTAAAATCTAGATTTTATTGAAATTTGACTTAAAGTGGTAAATGATATATTTTTTGTCAATACTTAGAACCTGATAAACACAATTTGGTCCAAAATCACCATTTTTTTTAAAATCTAATAACACAGTGAATTAATTAATTAGTAAAGATGAGTGCAGTCATCTTTTTTTTTTATTCAAATAAATCATTTAATACTGAATTTACTGACATCGAATAAGTAATCACACTAATACAAACTGCGGTAAAGATTATACCTCTCATCTTCTGTGTAGAAACGCTGAATGGACTACTGTGCAAAACAGTAATAGAGACAGTCAATGATGTTTGTTACTTCAAAGTCACTCAACATTTTAGTGAGTAATTTTGTTCGGATATGAGCGTAAAGCTGCAATTCCTAGGCAAACACATGATTAGTTAAAACAAATATTAATTTATTTTGGATTTATTTCATCATAACAGCTTACAGAGTTAATGGGTTATCCATTCAACATAATGTAAACTAAGGTGAACTAACTATTTATTGCAGACCTTTTGATTATGATCTAGAATTCAGCTGTCCACTTTCTGATTGACCTTCCCTCCCTGCAGGTACAAAGAAGCAGGCAGCTGTTGTCCCCCAGCCCAATGGGAACAGTAGAGAGCAAAATGCTGCCTATTAACTTCCAAATGGTGACCCAGCCGGTCCAGGCAGTGAAACAGAGCCCCAAAACCCCACAAAATATTAGAGGCAGTCCAGTGGGAGATCGCACTGCTCGGCAGCGCTATGCGCAAATCCTGCCCAAACCTGCGGCCACGACTGCTATCACTTTGCGCTCGCCCTCCACCATGATCATCGGCAACAGCCCTGTTAAGACAGTGATGACCACATGTCATGTCAGCCCAGTCAGTTTGGTCAAGATGACAGCCATATCGCTCGCACCCAACAGCAGCAATACCACCACTTCTCTCGCAAACGCCACTCTGCGGCCGGCATCTGCAGGCATTAGTAGTACCTCGTTTGCAGAAGACATCAGCTCCAATCAAGGCACGAGGAGTACTTCTGCAGTCCCCATTCTGGCCCCGGTGGCCAGGTCCGGGCAGACTACTAACACTCATACCATCGATGTTGAAATGGAAGTTGAAGCTATACATAAATACAGCCAAATGCAAAATCCTGGTGCTCTAGTTTTCCCTCAAGAGGCAATGGCAAATAGGGCTAGAGGGGCTTTACATAGGGCTGCCAGTGTGCCCATACCTCAGTCTAAAGGCTTCTTGGGTCTGGAGGACACATCCAGCACTAATTGCAATAGAAATTCCTCTTCAAGCTCTAACACCATGGCAACAGTCGGAAACAGCAATAACGGCGCTAATAATACAAGCGCTTTGCACTTAACTCACTCCACTCAGAATACCAGCGCTGTTTCTTTACTGAACACCAGTATACCACCTTCATTTGGGGAAAGCAGCAGTTTGATATCAATAAAGGAAGGTTTCCTGTCCACTAAGAGCCTCAGGAAACGTTCAGGCCTCAGTCCAGACCTTTCTCCAATCAAAAGGGCTTTTATGCCCCAGCAGCCAGTAGAGGGCGGTGCTGGTCTTGTATATGGGATTAGAAACACGGTTGGTAACATCTACAGGCCAGGAACTCCAACTAGACCTGAAAGTGCACCAGCTGCCAGAGAGGTAGAGACCGTCCCATCCGCTCAAGTCCACGCACCTTGCACTTCCTCTGTCAGAGCCAGTGGCTTCTACTCTGTTGCCAAAACACCGAGCTCAATGCAGAGGAAAAACACTTCCACTGTTATGGAAACTTGCACCTCAGTCAGTCACGCATTAATTCAGCAACAGCAGGGGCACACGATGTCTAACGTGCATGCCATACCTAATAACCCCGGCCTCCAAACACATTCAGGTATGAGTGATGTTAGGGGTTCAGCCACAGGGAGCCTGGAGGGAGCTCAACAACATACCTACTCGAAGTCTATCCCTGTTACTACACCCTTAGACTTTTTGAATCAAGCTTCATCGTCAAGCCAGCTCCCTATGCAGACTGATATGGACTACTTTCCCTTTGATGATGATGTGACTCAGGACAGCATTGTGGAGGAGCTGGTGCAGATGGAGGAGCAGATGAAACTTAACAACCTGCAGGAGTTTCAAACCTGTGTTAGTCTGCAGGGCCAACAGGCGTTGATGCCAGACAACATCATGTCTAACAATCAGACCATGTCTGCTTACTATCATGCTGCAAACTGCCGCAGCAACCCGATCCAAACTCCAACGCCTACTCCGACTCCAACTCCCACACCCACGTCGGAAATGATGGGAGGAATCCAAGGCTTCACCAGAGAGAGCCCCTTCTCCCGCATCGCCTCCACGACACCAGTGGACAGCGCACTGGGAAGCAGTCGACACACCCCAGTTGGTACTCCACACTCCAACTGCAGCAGCACTGTGCCTCCCAGTCCAGTGGAGTGCAGAAACCCGTTTGCATTCACACCCATCAACTCCAGCATCACTGGTTTCCACGATGGCAGCACCATCTCCAGCAGCCCAGTCAAGCCCATGCAGAGACCGATGGCAACCCACCCAGATAAGACCAGGCTGGAGTGGATGAATACCAGTTACAACAGCAGCAGCGGGAGCTTAAACAAGGCCAACAGTGGAATGGGAATCCTCCCCGGCTATCAAAGCCTGATAGGTGACCATTTCCAAAAACCTCACGCTTTCGCCGTCCCTCACGCACGGCACCACGACAGCCATTTTGGGCGCTTGACTCCCATCTCGCCCGTGCAGCAGCAGGTAACTAACATGGCCAAGCAGGAAGGCTTTGCTGTGCCGGCCCCTCTGGATAACAAAGCCACCAACACACCTGCTACAACCTTTCGATGTCGCAGTGTAAGTCCCGCTGTGCATCAGAGGAACTTGAGTGGAAACACAGGAAACCTTCCCCATATCCCTTGTTCAGTAGCATCTCCCTTTAACTCTCCTGTGACGCCAGAGATGTTACACATCTTTGCAAACAGCCAGACAAATCTTGGGGTGAGCAGCATGGCGCAGAGGAGCCATTCTGTGCCACTCAACGTCATGATGCAAACTGAGGTCCGGCCCACACCGGGCCAACACTGCCACAGCAAAAACATCACCAATGTCCTTCTGAGCAAGCTGGATGGGGACCATGATGACACTGTTCGGGGGCTGGGCATCAATAACTTCCCCCCCAGCTACACTGCACGCATGAACCTCACGCAGATCCTCGAGTCCGACGCCAACCTCTCCTGCAGTGACCACCACCTCAGCCCGATGACCTCCGACTCCACCAGCAGATGCAATTTGCAGAGGCCAAATTACCTCATCGAGAATGCTATCAATGAACAAATGATTCTCTCGGCAGTTAACAGCCGAGTACAATCAGCTTCTAGAGAGCAGCAGCGACAACAGGCCCAGTCTATGTTGTTAACGCTGAGCTCACAGCAGCATCAAGAAGAACTACAGCAGCAGTTGGATTTCAGCAGCACTGTGAAAGACCTCCTGGCAGACAACAGCGTTACTGCTGGCAGTCAGCTCATGGACCAGGTGTCAGGGCTAGCTACAGGCACGGCAGATTTCCCTTGTGAAATCAGAATGACATCGGATCTCTCCAGTAGCATCAATGACTTTAACGCATTGGACACAGACCTTCTGTTTGACCCCAACCAGCAGCAAGGGCAATATCAACATGCTACTGCAGAGGAGGAGTTGGTGAATGATGTGCTGTTTCAGCAAATTACCAGCGATACGGCCCATTCAAGTGGACTTGACTGGCTCGAAAGCAAAGATCATCCAACTGTTGGGTTGATGGGTTGAGAATAGAGCTTTTTTTTTTAGTCATGTTGAACATGTTAACCTGTGGTTTTTGTTAGTTTATTTATTTTCAGGTATTTACACTTTATAATGCAACACTGGACACATTGACGTTTGTCCAGTTTAAGTGCCAGGCTGAACTGCAATTATGCTGCAGCACTCTGATTAAAATGCTGGTCATTTCCCTTTAATCAGAGCACATCGCCTCACGTTGTTTGATGAAGAGCATTTACAACAAGTAAACAAAAAGTTACTGAACAAAAAAACAACCTTTTACTGAAAAGTCAGTGAAGAAATCATAACAGCCGTGGATTTCTTAGTGTAACGAATTGTATAAATGAATGAAAAAATGATTTTTATTAATAAGCCTTTTACAAAACTACTTCTTAATATCATTGTGTCTAACTCTTTTAACTGAAGCATTATCTAACTAAAGCATAATGACAAAAATGACTGCTGAACTAATAATAGTAATAATAGTGATATTTGCAACATTTGTGTGCGATGCATATTCACTGAAGAAAACTGCAAGTATCGCAAATTATCTTTGCAGGAGCTTTAGGTGTCAGTCTAGTTTATGTGCATTTTCTTTCCCTGAAAAAAATATTAACAAGACATGTTTGAAAGTGTACACTCAGTTTATAGAAATGTAATTCAGTGACAGGAACATAGAGCCAAATTCAACAATAGAAATACATTTAATTTATTCTTATGATCTGCTGGAGTTGGCATGGAGCATATAGTAGGATGCGGAATCATTTAAAATATAAAATAGATCATCTGATTATATAAAAATGAAGACTGAGGGATCAGTTTGATGGAATACATGAAGAGTAATACTTTAAGCGTACCAGAACCATAAACGAAAGTGATCAATGTCTAAACTGTCAGTTCATCTGGTCCACATTTTCAAGCTTTGAGATGTCGTTCATTTATATATTCCTGACAGTCATCCCAGACTTTGTGCCTCTCCAATGGATTTAAAGAGTCAAGCCAGTCAACCTCTCATGTCTTAATCATCACCACAATCAAACGTCTGCTCAATATAGAGCTCAGACAACTTGAAGATGATGATCTCATAGTAGAATTAGGCCTCTTTTGCACTTTGTCTTGTTTTTCAAGCCACATTTTTGCAAAAAGTATGAAAAAAGATAAATTGTCTTGTATAATCTAAACTATAAAGTTGCAGAAACCCTAATGAAGCTATTTTATTTACATGGAAAAAACATTTCTTTGTTAATTGTTAAATCCATATATATATTAATAAAACCAGCAGTGTAAGATGAGGGCTCTACTCTTAACCACTTGTAGATTAAAAATGGAAATAATTTATTAAAGAAACCATTGATAATAATTAAACTAAACCCCATGAATGTGGGGTTTCTGCACTTTTAGAGTATGACTCTCGTATAAAGAGTTACGAGACATAATAATAATAGCCATTTTTCCTTTGCACTCAGAAAATGCATTATTGTACTGTGTGCAAATAACTTCCTTGATTCAGAGGTGAAGTTTTTCATCTGATAAAAAAATTGACAAAATAGATGAAATTGAGCATAAATTTACTCCTTATCTCTAAAGAACTTGAACAATGTTGTTTCCTAATGTAGCACTCATCATACTGCACTGACAATCTGTAGTACTTGTGTTTCTTTACATAAATGCACTGAGTTCAATTTGAATGATGGAGGAACATGTTTGACTGCATGGCCTGAGGATTTCAAATCATGAAATCACTGATCATATATGAAAGTCTTGTTTTGCACTGATGAAGAGCTGTGTGTAAAGAAGTCATGCCACCACAGATGAGATGAGGCTCACAGGTGCTACCTGAAGGTTTTGGTTTTCAAGCCTTATGTCCATACCAAAGACTAACTGTTAAATATAACATGCAATAACATGCTCTGAGATATCTGTGACATACTGAGTTATGTTTGGTAACATTGGTGACAGTTGCAGCACTGGAAAAACATTTCTTGATATAATCAGTTCATCAGGACAATGTTAATGTTTTGTTTACTATTGTTGATGCTTTTGTTAAACCAACAGGTAAATAATGTTTTTATGGAGGCAAAAAAGACACTGTAATTGATCCTGTTTCTCTGTGTTAGCACTAGAGAGTGTGTTTTTATTTTTGGTCAGTCTCACTGTCGTTCAGGGTGTTTGTGTTTTTAATATTTATTCAGAGTGTGTTGTTTGTACAGAAGATGCAACCTTGCAAACCATGTAATCTTGGGAATTCACAATAATCTGATTTGCACTGTCGAGATGTTTTGTAGCATACATTTTAAGTGTCATAGCAAATAACCACATATCATATAAAGTGCTTTTTTTCAACAGATGATTTGTCCAATGTGGTGAATAATAAGAAAATGGAACAAAACTCTCAAAATTCAAAACCTTTCAGAACTGAATTTTGGCAGAAAATTGTCCCAGAAAATATTTGCTCACGTTTTTAAAATGTGTAAATCAGACAATCCATAACTATAAGGTGTAATATTAATGTCATGCTATAATGCAAACGCAGAACATTGAATCTCTTTCAGTGTGTTGACAAATATTGTGCGTTGTTTTATACATTTTTAGAAAACGTTTAATTTCTGTAAAAGCAGATTATAATATATAATCTCATTTTGAGTATGATTTAACATTGATCAATTTAGACAAACGTTTCTTATTCATGTTTTATTTTCCCTTTACCGTGTCTGTAAAAACAAACAAAGCATTTATTTGGTTAACTCTGGTTTGTGTTTGAAGAAGATTTTACCCTTCCTCTTGCTGAATGTGGTTCAGAGCTGTAGAACTGCCCTCTACTGGTTGTGTTGCTGTGGTCAGTGTATCGGGGATTTTTTTAATAAGGGGAAGTGCTTGTTGATACTGCTTTATAAAGAGTTTTTCAAACAATAAACATTTTAAGTACATCAGTATCGTGGAATCAGTGTTTTCTTTTTGATATGTGCATAAAAGCAAAATGCACAAGGAACGCATGCTTGTTCACTTTTGAAATCTAGTAAAGTAAAGAATACTAACATCTTTCACCTATAATATTGAGCTATAGTTAACATATGCAAGGTCTCACCTATGACAGTAATCAGACTATTTTGTTTGGACTTCCGACTGAATTTCGGAGAACCTGAATTTCACATTAACAAATTAATTCAAATTCAGAGCACACAATTGCGTTTCATGACACATATTGTTTGTGACAAACATTTGAATCCTTGAATCCTTACTTCAAATTAATTTAGCTGATATAACGACTCCATACATACACTACACCATAATTAGACTGACGGTCAATGTCACTAGTGAAACGGGACTAATACATGTCCTTGTATTTATTTAAATACAAAGTTGAGGTACTTTATTTGTGTATTTTCATTTTGTGCTAATTAATATTTCTACTCCATTACATTTATTCGACAGATATAGTTACTTTAAGATTAATATTGTCCTGAAATGACTGAATACAACATACACACAGCTTACATATTATCATCAGTGGTAATAATAATACAATAGTACTTTTACTTTATGTCAGTACGGTGGATGAGGTACTGAGATGTGAAAGAAATGTAGTGAGAATACAAAATACAATATTTCCCTCTGAAATATGTTAAAGTTGCATTAAAAACTATATTAGCATTAGTAAAGTACCTCACATATGTACTTAAATAATTGTTAGTTACATTACAGCACTGCTTTTTGCTGATTGTAGGCTACTTCATCACTTTAAGTTACTTGTAATGGTATTGTATTTTGTGGTGTCGCTATGTTCAGTGAAAGATTTATGATGCGTTCAGGTGCTCTATCAGTATTGTTTTTCTGGGATTTCCTCAGAGTGTAGCAGTGCCAGGAAGAAGGAAACAACAAGAGGAGGAGGAGGAAGGACGAAACAGAGGAGGAGGAGAAGAAGAAGAAGGAGGACGATGGATACAGTAAATGACGACGGTGTCACATCGAGCCACTAGGTCAGGTTCACGGTAGCTACCAGCGTAAACACGCAGAGGGCATAATACAGGCAGAGTAGTAACTAAACACCACTAGAATCTACTGTTGAACGTGCCACTATCTTCTTCTTCTTGGCTCTTCTTACCGCTCTCTGTGGAGGAGGAAGGGCGAGGATATTATGGCTGCACTTTCTCAACAGATCCGAGGACTTCAGATAGATGAGGTAAACTAACGCTCCTCTCCCAAAGCAGCGACACTGTTCATGTGATCACGTTGTTAGCCAGCTGGCTATAGTTAACGCTAACTATAGCGTTAGCTAACTAAACACTGTGCGTTAACTAACGCTGGCGAGCTAACTAACCCACTAGCAAGGGGGTCAACTCGCGATGAAAGGAGTTATGTGTTCGCTAAAATGTGGTCGTTATTGATGAAAGATCGATGAAATTGATCAGGTGTACTTCTCAGCTAATGCTACACACATTAGAAAGCTGTAGCTGTTCACTTTTTCATCCAGGAAACACAACAGGCTTTAACGGCTGTTTCCCGTCCTCAACACACACACACACACACACACACACACACACACACACACACACACGACTGACATCGACCAAACTCTGAATTACCTCGCTAAAGAATCACGTTGGCAGAGCTTTCACTCCAGGTACCTACGTTAGGGCCCTATAGTTGTGTCCTTCATGCCAAGTCAGTGTGATTGATTGCGAAATCTTATGACGATTCACCAACTTCACAGTAAAAGCATAAATGAGGGTTATGATGGAAATGTACCAAGTACTGTCAGGATGTTACATCATCCCGTAAACACTGATTGTAGTCGGGGGGGGGGGGGGGGGGGGTGTGCATGTGATGGGCATTTATACTGGAAATGAGTTTTGTGTGTGTGTGTGTGTGTGTGTACTATATAGATATCTAGTGGACCGCATTCCCAAAACAATATTCAGTATTCTGGACTTGCATTAACCATGGACAGAATATTACCAGTTATTTGAGAGAGAGAGAGAGTGTGGTATTAGTTCAGTTTCTAGTTCAGGTTTTTAATTGTTTATGTTTGTATTATGTCCTCATGTGGTTTACGATTAATGTGTGACGGCAAGACTCCATCGCTGTCTTTATCTCATTATCATATTCACAAACTCATTATTTTTTTATTTTTAGGAAGAATGCAGAGTCCTAAAAGTGAAAGTCGTTGCTGGAATTGGGCTGGCCAAAAAAGATATACTCGGAGCCAGGTAAGCTGTAGATGATTAACACTAACTGTTGCTGTATGATTAGGGCTGCGACTAACTATTTGTTAGCTTTACATTTTCCCTAAAATCAGTAGTCATCTTCCTGTGTATGTGTGGTGGGCGTCTCCCGTAGTCAGTTTGCTTTATTATCTTCAGTAAAGCCGGACAGTCAGAGCTTGCATCCTCTGAACCATTGTGTAGAATGACAGGAAGGGGACGACGACCTTTGCGAACAAACAGCACACGTACGTCAGCCATGAATCAGTTTGTGTTCCATTATTCCAATTCAGTCCGCCATTCTCTACAAAAACCCTCTCCACACCCAAAGTAATGTCCTATATTTCTGTCAAGAATTATTCAATTACACCATGGGTTATGTTAGTTAGTTGTCTAGTGTTTAATTCTGATTAAGTTCTTTTCTATTTTTCATTTATAGTTGGGTAATTTGGAAGGAGCGGGTGTGTAAAGGTTCAGAAGGATGTCTTTGTTGTTGCAGTTTTCACAACAGACATTTGCTGGAAAAAAGAAGAGAAAGTCCTTAATTCTTTAATTAAAAACCTCTGGTATTTCCTTTGCAAACAGCCCTGACATTTGCAAGGCTGGCGCTCCTCCAAGACCATGACTTGGTAATGAGTGCTGATTAGCTTCGTCTACAGCATAGTGTCGTTTTTGTTGGGCATGTTTACTCTAAAAAATCCCAAAACAGCTCTACAAATTTAATTATTTTAATGCCCTGTTTTAGGCCTTTTCACACCACATTTGTGTCCTACTTTTAGGTTTCCTTAAAATCCTCCATTTAATAAATGTTTACTTCCCCATAACCTATAAATGCAATCTGACATTGGCATAACAAGAGTTGTGGATTTTATGCCTTTATGTTTAATTATACATGTCACAAACAAAATTGCTGTATTAACATCCCTCTAATGTAAAAACACTCGCTTAACCTATCACCAATGCTGCAGGCCTAAAGATACATAAAGATAGGGTAATGAATAATGGGATTGTTGAATGTGGTTTTAATGCACGTCACAGTGCCTCAAACCATCATTAATTAACAATTCCAGTCAACTTTGCTTCAAGTATTGAGTAGCTGGAACCATTATGTTAAAGTTTCCCAGGTCTGAATGCAGCTCATGATGTAAAGAGATTTACCTCTCTCAGAAATAAAGTAGAGATCCATGGCAGAAGAACCACACAAACCACCAATACATACAGAACAGGAAGTAGACAGGAACCATTTCAATCTTTATAGATGGAGGACTACACCAGACCTCAATCTAATGTGTGTCTCTTTGTCTTGCAGTGATCCATACACAAAACTGTCCCTCTATGACCCCATCAACGGAGAAATCACAAGTCTTCAGACTAAGACAATCAAAAAGGTGAGCAAGTGAACATCTACATTTGCTTTTACACTTGTTCTATTTGTGGACTTATATTTTATTTCCCTTCCCATCACACGTTACATGAAGACACTGGACCCGAAGTGGAGCGAAGAATTCTTTTTCAAAGTAAGTAAAAACTTAAAATACATAAACATTTTAAAATGCATCTATTTATCGCTCATGTGTGAATATCTACGCTCACGTGTATGTATCAGGAGATCATTTGTGACATTTTATAACAATACTCTTAATCATACATATATACTTAATCACATGTAACTACAAGATTCTAAGAGTGATGCTGTTGGCTTTGTTGACCTCAGTACTTGTGCGCTTTGATTGTATAGATTCTATATTGTGTTTCAGGTTGATCCCCGGAAGCATCGTCTGCTCTTGGAGGTGTTTGATGAGAACCGCCTGGTAAGTTATTTAGTTATGTTCAACTTTTCTGTGTATCATTTTGATATACTCAACATTTTAGGTTGTGGATTCCAAGTGTGGAAATCTTGGTTCGCTTAAGGGCGGCAACTAATAATAATTTTCCTTATCAAATAATCAATCAAAAGTTTGGTCTTTAAATGGTTGGTTTGGTCTGACCAATGGTGTAAAACCCAAAGATATTCAGATTTGCTATCATAGCAAAAAAAGCTACAAATCCTCACATTTGACAATGTAGAACAAGAGAATGTTTTTTTATTTTTGCTTTTTAGTGCACATCACACAGGGGAACCAGCCAACCATGCTTAAAGCTCTGCTTCAAATCAATTTGTTTTACATTTTCAAACATTTGTGAGACAATTTCCTGACTTGAACACCTGAACAATTATCAACATCACAACTATTGTGTCCCTCTATAGTAAAGTGGCTCTTAAAATTGATTTCCAATGCTTTCCAGTCTGTTCATACCAGTCTACAGAGCCAGTAGCCCTGTCAATGTAGGAGCCTGTCCAGGGCTTGTAAGAATAATATAGTAATGAAAACACTTTGCCCGACAATTATAACAAACTGACATACAGCAAGACAGGTTATCCACCTTTTAGAACATGCCCAGACTTAAACAAGTTAGAGTCAAAAACAAATATTTCTCCTAATACCTAATATGTGTTTACCATAAAGTGAACAATGAATGCCAAACAAGGCAATGTGGCGTATTTCTGAGGATAAGGGTATCTCCAGTCAGTGCAAGGTTATCTTTGGTTTGTCTGCCTGATACGGCCGCCCTTATTTTGCCACAACATGCAAGTTATTGTTAGAAAACTATGATCCCTTATTATTCAGAGCTGATCATACGGGCAAATCTGGCTGCCTTAAGGCTACAGGTGTGGCTGGTGATTGACATAGCTTAATAGTTTGTTATAACACAGTGTTCTTGTGTGTTAGCAGCAGCTCAGTAGGAACGGAGGTTTGGCTTGTTGTGTGCTGGTAGATTGAGATAGGAGACTGCAGTGAATGTAGATTACATTGTCTCTAATTGATTACATAGTTAGCGCACAGCAATGTGAATGCTTCTGGGAATATAAGTTTGTAGCACGATCTCAATCGAGCTGCTGACCCAGTTTCACGCTGGTCTGAGACACCTGAGCAGCCAGACCACAGTGACCGCATCATTGCTATCTGAGACGTCCTACTAACTGTGCTATCTGTATGTAAACACGGTGAGTGAGTTAGTGGGGAACCACAATTTACTCATTTAGTAAACAGTTTTATCAGAGCTTTACCCATGAAATTAGCAAAGTAACACATTCTGTAGTTAGTGCACCCTACCCTACATTTACACTCCACATAGTTTTTATTTATTGATCTGCGGCTGCATAGCCACACATGTATAAAGCCATATATAAAACATTCTTGGAAACTTGTACCGCTGTAATTCCCTTTAAAGCTATTTTGTACTCTGCTCTGGAGCAAAAATAAGTTATTAACTCATAATGTTGATGTTTTTAGGAGTTGAGATAGTAGTATTTTTCTTACTGAGTTGCAGCTCTAATAAGTTTGGTCTTATCTTTACCGGCGCTGTTATCCCCACTGCTTCGACAACCTGTCCAAACTGGTAAAGTCTGCTCAGTGAGCATGAAGCAGCACATTAGATTGGCAGAAGAAGATGTCGGTGCACAGCTGTGTCTAGAAAACTACCACGTCCAACATGTACAGTTTCTTATTGGTTCTGCACAGAACTAACAATGCCGTGCTGTAAAATGCAAATCATGTTTTGTTCCACTCCCTTCTTCTATTGTGCTTTGTTTCGTTATGTTTGTAATACTTTATTCTTATTGGTCACAATATAGAATAAATTAAAACATACAGTCCACACATACACACGTAGCTTCTGCTTCACTCTGTCTGTTATTGTGCTTGTAGTTTGGCTGAATGTTTCCAGGACGTGTCATAATATCAAACAAACCTGGGCGTGACTGACTCGAGTCTGCCTTGTCATGCTCCAGGTAGATCTTGTGAAAATGTGAAGGGTGTGTCTGCACTGTGAACGTGTTGCTGTGTGTGTGTGTGTGTGTGTGTGTGTGTGTGTGTGTGTGTGTGTGTGTGTGTGTGTGTGTGTGTGTGTGTGTGTGTGTGACTGCTGCTCTGACACTTAGAGGAATGAGCAGGAAATTCAAGAAACGTTGGCAGAAATGTTTTGTTCTGCTGTTCATTGTGTTAGTATTGTTCTTTAATAGACATTGATAATTGTGATCCACAGTTTGATCTTTCAAAAAATGAGAATGACGGCGATAATCTAACAACAGTGTGTGAGACACTCACACACTTGCAGTGAAAGACTCAGATTCAGAATCAGACGTATGCAAAATCTAAATAAGAGACATTCTAAGGTTTTGATTTCTGCTATCACATGCTGGCATGGAGATGTCTCACTTCCAGAGACGGCATGAATAGAGAGTATGCACATGGCCGTATGCAGATGTTGCCATGGTTACC